TTGTGTCCTTGTCTGATTGCCTTGTCAAAGCAATACTGGTCTCATAGAACGAATTTTGGAGAACTCACTCCTCTTCTTTTCTTCTTCTTCTTCTTTTTTTTTTTGGACAGGCAGAGTTAGACAGTGAGAGAGAGAGAGACAGAGAGAAAGGTCTTCCTTTTCTGTTGGTTCACCCCTCAAAGGCCGCTACAGCCAGTGTGCTGGGCCGATCCGAAGCCAGGAGCCAGGTGCTTCCCCCTGGTCTCCCAGGTGCAGGGCCCAAGCACTTGGGGGCCATCCTCCACTGCACTCCCGGGCCACAGCAGAGAGCTGGACTGGAAGAGGAGCAACCAGGACAGAATCCTGCACCCCAACTGGGACTAGAACCTGGGGTGCCAGCGCCGCAGGTGGACGATTAGCCAAGTGAGCTGCGGCACTGGCCTCCTCTTCTATTTTTTGAATAATTTGGGAAGGATTGGTTTTCATCTTCTTTAAAATTGTGGCAGAATTCATAACTATGACTGTAGTCTTAATAATTTTTGAATATTTTAAAATTTACTATATATGAGTGAAGATAAACATCATTTGTTTCTTGAATATAGCCATTGCCAATATTCCTGCTGAACTATGTTGTTTTTACTTTTTATTTGTTGAACTCTTTATTTTAGTGTAGCATTAAGCCTTTGACTATAATGTAAATTAAAAATATGCTATCTTAAAAATAATAAATAAAATAGAATGTTATGTAATGTTTGGCATAATTCAGCAGTGAAGCTAACTGGCACTGGGCTTTTCTTTGACAGGAGGCTTTTATTCCTGATTTAATCGCAGTACACATACTTGATCTTTTTAGGGGTTCTATTTCATTATTGTGCAATCTTGGTAAGGTTCATGTGTCCAAGAGCTTGCCTGTGTCTTCTAGGTTATTGAATTCATTGCCATATAGTTGTTCATAGTAATCTCTAATAGTTATTTTCCTTTTTTTAAAGAATTATTCATCAATTTGAAAGAGTGACAGAAAGGAAGACACACACACACAGAAAGAGAGAGAGAGAGAGAGAGAGAGAGACTCTTCTATCCACTGGCTTACTCTCAAAATGACTGAAACAGCTGGGGGTAGGCCAGGCTGCAGCTTAGAACCAGGAAATCCATCTGGGTCTCCCACTTGGATGGCAGGGACTCAAGCACTAGGGCCATTTTCTAATGCTTTCCCAGGCACATTAGTGGGGAACTGGATTGGAAGCAGAGCAACTGAATTTCAAACTGATGCTCCAACATGAGATGCTGGCATCACAGGTGGCACCTTAATCCAATACTTTGTATTTCTGGTTTTTTTTTTTCAGTTAAAATGTCTGTTTTTATCTCTACTTCTGTGTATTTGAATCTTTTCTCTTTTGTTCTTGGTTAGTCTATTTAAGGATTTATCAATTTTGTTTATCTTTTCAAAGAATGAGCGCCTTATTTTTTTAAGATTTCTTTATTTATTTGAAAGGCAGAGTTACAGAGAGAGAGGAGGAGAGACAGAGAAAGAGGGAGAGATCTTCCACCTGCTAGTCCACTCCCCAAATGGATGAAGTACCCAGGGCTGGGCCAGAGAACTGCATTGGGGTGTCCCACATGGGTGGCAGAGGCTCAAACACTTGGGACCATCTTTCACTACCTTCTGAGGGAGGTAGATTGGAAGTATAGCAGCCAGGACAGGAACTGGTGCTTGTAAGTGATGCCAGCATCATAGGCAACAGCTTAACCTGCTGAACCACAGTGTCAGCCCCAGAGCCAGCTCTTTGTTCCATTGAATTTTGTATTCATATTTTAATCTCTGTCACTTATTTGTGCCGAGTTCCATTATTTTCCTTTTAACAATTTTGTATTTGTTTTGTTCTTGTTTTTTGAGTTGCTTGAGATGCACTGATTGTTTATTTGAGATCTTTCTGGCTTTTTTTTTTTTTTTAATCAGGCATTGATTGACATAAACTCCCCTCTTAGTCCTGCTTTTGCCATATTCTGTAGGTTTTGGTATGTTGTTTCTATTTTTGTTCAAAAAATTTTTAAAGATTTATTGTATTTATTTGAAAGGCAGAGTTACAGAAAGAGCGGAGAGAGAATTTTCCATCTGCTGTTTCACTCCCCAAATGGCCACAATGGCCAGAGGTGGGCCAGATCGAAGCCAGAAGAAAAAGCATATTCAAAGAGATAATGACAGGGGCTGGCGCTGTGGCATAGTTGGTAAAGCCGCCGCCTGCAGTGCCAGTATCCTATATGGGCACCAGTTCAAGTCCTGGCTGCTCCACTTCCGATCCAGCTCCCTGCTATGGCCTGGGAAAGCAGTAGAAGATGGCCCAAGTCCTTGGGCCTCTGCATGCTCTTGGCTCCTGGCTTCAGATCGGATCAGCCTAGCTCTGGCTGTTGTGGCCATTTGGGGAGTGAACCAGCGGATGGAAGACCTCTATCTCTCTCTCTCTCTCTCTGCCTCTCCTTCTCTCTCTATGTAACTCTGACTTTCAAATAAATAATTCTTAAAAAAAAAAAAAAACAACGAAATAATGACAAAAAATTTCCCAAACCTAGAGAAAGTCAGAAGTATCCAAATACAAGAATATCAAAAATCACCAGACTCAACTCAACCAATTCTACCCCAAGATATTATAACCAAGCTCCCCAAGGCCAAAAGAGAGGATTCTCAAAACTGCAAGATAAAGAAGTAACACAGGAAGCCACCCCAATCCTCCTGATTGCAGGAGTTTTTAACAAGTCAAATTGATATCATTCTTCATTCTGTAGCCAAAGAGATCTTCCTAAAAGTTGAGTCTCATCATTTACTTCTCTGCCTAAAATCCCTCCCTGATTCCCTACAGCCTGCCTAAAGTCCAACACTCTCAGCATAGCACTCTTTAACACTTAACCCTTAACCTCAGCATCCAGGTTCCTTCCTCTGGGGAACTATCCTCAGCCTGTCCAAGCAGTATAGCATTTCCTCTTACATCAACAGCTATTCATTAACTGCTTATTAAGCATATGCTGGGCACTGTTATATGCTGGAATTGGAGCTGTGGAAAGTTTTCACTCCTCAGAGCATCTGGAGAGGGAGACTAACACTTTGTTTAGACAATTATTTAGCTATAAGTTTGTTGAAGGCTATATGGTGTTGAGAATGTGTAACCATTTTTAGGAGAGTGGCAAGGACCTACTTTCCTTATGAAAAGACACTGAGGGGCCAGTGCTGTGGTGTGGCAGATGGAGCCACTGACTGCAGTGCTGGCATCCCATATGGGTGCTGGTTCCAGTCCTGGCTGCTCCACTTAACAATCCAGCTCTCTACTATGGCCTGGGAATGCAGTGGAAGATGGCCCAAGTCCTTGGGTCCCTGCACCCACGTGGGAGACCCGGAAGAAGCTCTTAGCTCCTGGCTTTGGATCGGATCAGCTTCCGAGTAAACCAGCGGATGGAAGACCTCTTTTTCTCTTGCCTCTGCCTTTCAAATAATAAATAAATAAATCTTTTTTTTTTTTAAAGACACAAAGATTTGATGGGCCATCCCACTGTGGCTTTCAGAATTCTCCCTTGGGCAACTTGCCAAGAAGTTATAGGAGACCACGATCCTCAAAAGGTCCTTTTAACCATTACAGTTATGAGTCTGGTCCAGTCTGTAGCCAGACTGATATCCACAATGTAAATCTATGTGTAGCAGGCACTGTACACGTCATCACATACTTTTAGCAATACCCAGTTGCTATTTTTTAAAAGTTTTTATTATTTTTTATTTTTATTTATTTTTTTGACAGGCAGAGTGGACAGTGAGAGAGAGTGAGAGAGAGAGAAAGGTCTTCCTTTGCCGTTGGTTCACCCTTCAATGGCCGCCGCGGTCTCCCATGGGGTGCAGAGAGCTGGCCTGGAAGAGGGGCAACCGGGACAGAATCTGGCACCCCGACAGAGACTAGAACCCGGTATGCCGGCGCCGCAAGGCGGAGGATTAGCCTAGTGAGCCCCGGCGCCAGCCACCCAGTTGCTATTATCCCTACTTTTTTTTTTCTCCCCGACAGGCAGAGTGGACAGTGAGAGAGACAGAGAGAAAGGTCTTCCTTTGCCGTTGGTTCACCCTCCAATGGCCGCTGCGGCCAGCTCACCGCGCTGATCCAAAGCCAGGAGCCAGGTGCTTCTCCTGGTCTCCCATGGGGTGCAGGGCCCAAGCACGTGGGCCATCCTCCACTGCACTCCCAGGCCACAGCAGAGAGCTGGCCTGGAAGAGGGGCAACCGGGACAGAATCAGGCGCCCTAACCAGGACTAGCCTAGTGAGCCGCGGCGCCGGCCTATTATCCCTACTTTCAGATTAGCAACGTGAAGTTCAAAGTGAAAGGCGCCATCACTCTTCCAAGGTCTCCCTATTTGGAAATAGTTGAGTCAGCAGTTCCAACCCAGGAGTTTCAAGGCTCCGTCTTCTTTTCTCCGAGCATGTGTCTACTTCTGTATCTCTGTTTCCAGCATAGTGAAAGCCTTATGCTAATGGCAGCACTGTGCTGAGTCCTTCCACCTTCGCCAACACACACCAGCATTTCCTCAGGTTAGGAGTTCGAGGCACGTCCAGACCTGGTTTCAGGTTTGCAAGTACAACAGTCGCTTCCTGAACCTCATTTTGCACTGGACGCCACACGTTTCCCACACCCGCGTTAGGGGTAAACGCTGACGTTGAGACTACCGGCCAGCAGAGTCCCCTTCCCCGGTGCCTGAGCGGAGGGGGGGTGGGGGGGTGGTCCACTTTCCTGGCGTTCAAGGTCTCTACATTTGGCACCTTCACGCGGGAAAGCGAAGCCCCTCGCGGCACACTGGAAGCCACAGCGCCCCCCGTGCCCTCCCGCCCCCTTTTCTTCCACTCATCCCCGGGGCGTCCTCTCCCCAGCTCGGCTGGAAGAGCCAGCGACCCGAAACGCCCATGCCAACAAGAGGCCGACAAGGCCGCCGCCGGCTCCGACCGCGGGAGACCAGGGCGCCAGCGACGCTCCGCGGTCGCGCTGACGTCACGCCGGCGCGTCCCGTTTCCGGCGGAGCGGAGGTGTTCCCGTGGTGACGCAGTGCTGCCCGGGAGCTTCGCTGCGGTCTCCTCCGAGCTTCCCGCCAGGATGCCTCACTTGGAAAACATGGTGCTTTGTCGCGAGTCCCAGGTGGCCACCTTGCAGTCCCTGTTTGGAGAGGTACGGTGGTCAGACTGTCTTCTTTCTTCCAAATGCTGCAGGGGGGGACATGTCCGTGGCTTTGAGACTGCTTGTTTATTTAGGTAATAATTTCGTGTCCGGGTTGAGGAGCACCTGCCCATGGTTTCCGCTGAGGTTGGGGGCTGTGTGGCTGCCAGGGGCTACCGCGGACCCCCACCCGGAGTAACTTCTAGTGGGCGCCGGGGCGCGGCGAGGGCCGGCTCTCCTCTCGCACACCCGGCGCCGTGCAGATGTCGGGAGCGCAGAGCCGCCGCCGGAAGTCGCCGGTGTGCTCTCAGCCGTAGCGGCTGGTGTGGGGTTCGGCTGTAACGGGCTCGCGCCTCGCGGGAGGTGTGGTGGCTGCGGCAGGTGTAGCGGGTCGGCGGCGTGCCCACGCTCCGGCAGCCTGCTCTCCTGGACGCGTATGCGGGTTCAGATCGGCGCCTCCAGGGAAGCCGTCGTCCTCTGCGTGGAGGAGCTCGGCGAAGGAGTCCCTTCTGCGCGTAAGAAGGAGCGCGCATCAGTTCAAAACTGAAATTATGTGATCTTCTCGGGGCCTTTGGGGTGCCTTTTGCTCCAGACTCATTGATTAGGTTTCGATCTTTATAAAACGAGTGAGCCAGGGCCCGGTAAAGGCTCCCCCTGCGAGGTTGGCATCCCATGTGGGCGCTGGTTCGAGTCCCAGCAGCTTCTCTTCCGACCCGGCTCTCTGCTATGGCCTGGAAATGCAGCAGAAGATAGCCCAAGCCGTGGAGCCCCTGTACCTGCGTGGGAGACCCGGAAGAAGCTCCTGGTTTCTCTCTGGCCTTTGCGGCCATCTAGGGAGTGAACCAGCGAATGGAAAATATTTCTCTCCCTCTTCGCTCCCCATCTTTGTGTAACACTTTCAAATAAATGAATAAATCTTAAAAAAAAAAAAAGTAAATGACAGTTTAGAATTAGCCTCATTTCCTGATCATTTGGTTTGCCTTTTTTTTTTCCTCTCTAGATTTATTTATATGTGTTTGAAAGGTAGAGTTACAGAAAGAGAGAAAGAGAGGTGTTCCATCTGCTGGTTCACTTCCCAAATGACCAGGAGCTTCATCTGGGTCTCCCATGTAGGTGGCAGAGACTCAGGCACTCAGGCCATCTTCTAATGCTTTCCCAGGCTTTAACTAACATAGGGAGCTGGATTGGAAGTGGAGCAGCCTGACGGCCACCCCTATGGGATGCTGGCCCCCTATCTGGTTTGCTTTTCTCAGTATTTTCATCCAACTAGAAAAGAAGTAGCCTGGGCAGTATTAGTGGAAGTACCACTCTCCATTTAAAGGGACATGTTAGGCGGGATACACAGCAGACTCATAGAATGACAAATGCCCTAAACAGCACTCTGGCCTCAGAATCAGTCCTTAAGGCATTCAGATCTGGCTAAAAAACCTATGAGAGTTTCTCAGGCATGGAAAGCAAAGGCACTGTGGCAAAAAAATGACCTAAATGAAAGATCTCTGTGAGTGAGAGCCCAGTGGAAACAATGGGCTGTCAAAGAAGGAGGTACCTTTCTCTGAAGGGAGGAAGGAACTTCCACTTTGATAATGGCCTTGTCTAAATAAGGTCAGAGTTTGTGAACTCAAGAGGCTTCCATAGCCTCGGCAACTCATGACAAGAGCCTCGGGTGATTACTGACGCCATAAATGCCATAAATAAGAGTGTCAATTGTTAAATCAACAACAGGAGTCACTGTGCACCTACTCCCTATGTAGGATCTCTCTCCTTAATGTGTTGTACTATGAGAATTAATGGTAAAACTAGTTTTCCAACAGTACTCTATAGTTTGTGTGGGTATAAACTGTTGAAATCTTTATTTAGTATAGAGTTGATCTTCTGTATATAAAGATAATTAAAAATGAATCATAATGAAGAATGGGAGAGAGAGCAGGAGATGGGATGGTTTGCAGGTGGGAGGGTGGTTATGGGGGAAGAACTGCTATAATCCAAAAGTTCTTTTGAATTTTACATTTATTAAATAAAAGTTTTCTATTAAAAAAAGGGACATGCTAGGGAAGTAAGAAGTCAGCTACTATATTTTCAGGTTATAGTGTTGAAATTACAGTTATCCAGATTATCACAGAAACATGTTCTGTGGATTTCTTCACTGGAACTGATAAACCCAGGTCATTCCTACTAGAAGTGCCTCTTTTAGAAAAGAATATTGGCAAACATTGAGAGATGAGCAGTGCTGCCTTAGTGTGGGCTACAGAATGGAGTCTTTCACTCTTACTGCAAATCGTGTTTAATATTCATGTCACTTTTCTGCAAGGTGTGCATATGGGAAATACAAAGAACTGTAGCAAAGAACTATAAAAAATGGCTTCATGTTTCCAAGAAGATTCATTTATTCATTCAAGAGGAAATAGTTACTGAACATCTTTTCTGTTTCAGACACTGTGCTAGATACTAGCTTATTAGAATTTGTGTTAGGGAAGTTTACAAAAGTTAAGTAACAGTCCAAGAGTGTAATATCATCCTAGGTAACAATTGAAAAGATGTTATAGGGTGGTGATTGCTTTAGGCACCAAATAATAGCAGCATTCCAGAAAAGGAAGGATTCAGTGTAACTTGGCAAAAAAATAAATAAATAAATAAAAACTCCAGAAGCCTGCTATTTCGCTTCTCTTTAAAGGTGTAATGTGTGCAGTGTTTGGGATAGCAGAGATCCCCAGTATCACGCATGTAATGAAAAATGTTTGAGCCAGTTAATTCTAAGATTGTTACATACAAAGTTTAAAAAAAGGATTCACATATTAAAATATCCACTTGGTAAATTGTTAGTTCATTTTTAGCAGTGGAGCTGCTTTTGCCACAGGTGTGCCATTCCAAAAGCTTTCTCCTGTATTAATCTGAGCTCCTGATTTGCCTTGTAAAAGGAAGTGTTTAAGTGAGAGACTAGAATGTAATGCATTTGTATGATGCTGATGCTGAGATAGAAGATGGTGTACAGACTCGGCTTTCTTATGGGAATGACATCAGCCAGTTTTCTTGTATTTTTTTAATGTATGTTGCCCCACTTAGACTATAAACTCCCGAGTAGTAAACCATCTTTTACTGATACTTGTATTCTTTTTAGTGATTGTGCTTTAGAGCATTTAGTAGGTATCTGTGAGTATCCTTTGGACTCATTAAGCAGTAGTATTGACAAGACCAACAAAGGGTGTTGGAACCATTTTTACTCTTCTTGAGGGTGCTGACTTACTGTGCTGCAGGAGGATCTTGTGACTATTTCTTTTTGAATCTATGTATATGGATTTCATTAATATTTTATTTGATAAGATGTATGCATTTTTTGCCAGAGTCAATGAGTATATATAATTCAAAGTATTCTACAAATTTTCTTAAAAATAAGGACTGTTAGAATTACTTCTAGCCCCTTGATTCTATATGCTTAGTTTCAAAGCAGTAAAATGAACGGTGAAGTTGCAGTCTGCAAGGGGATTAAATCCTTTAAAGAGGATTAGTATAAAAATGGAGTATGGGCAAAATTATCCTTGGAAAACTCTTTACAGTAAGTTGAAAATACAGTGTCCTATATATTAAAAATGCAGGAGTTTGTATATGTAACTGTATGCAGTAATAAAAACTGTAAATATGTACAGTATATGCCAGATACAACTTTTATTTATTTATTTATTTATTTATTTATTTTTTTGACAGGCAGAGTGGACAGTGAGAGAGAGAGACAGAGAGAAAGGTCTTCCTTTGCCGTTGGTTCACCCTCCAATGGCCGCCGCGGCCGGCGCGCTGCGGCCGGCGCACCGCGCTGATCCGATGGCAGGAGCCAGGAGCCAGGTGCTTTTCCTGGTCTCCCATGGGGTGCAGGGCCCAGGCACTTGGGCCATCCTCCACTGCACTCCCTGGCCACAGCAGAGGGCTGGCCTGGAAGAGGGGCAACCGGGACAGAATCCGGCGCCCCAACCGGGACTAGAACCCGGTGTGCCGGCGCCGCTAGGCGGAGGATTAGCCTAGTGAGCCGCGGCGCCGGCCCAGATACAAGTTTATAGACATTTTAATTCCATAACAGAAAATACTTGTAAGAGTTGAATTCACATATGTTCAAAATCTAACAGTCCACTACATGCTCATTATTAATTTTTTTTTCTTTTTTAAAGATATTTATTTGAGAAGTCGAGTTACAGAGGGAGAGACAGAAAGATCTTTCCTCTGCTGGTTCACTCCCCAAATGGCCGCACCGTCTGGAGCTGAGACATCCGAAGTTAGGAGCCAGGAGCTTCCCCCAGGTCCCCGGTGCAGCTGCAGGGGCCCAAGCACTTGGGCCATTCTCTACTGCTTTCCCAGGCCATAGCAGGGAGCTGGACTGGAAGAGGAGCTGCCGGGACTCGAACGGGCACTCATATGAGACTCTGGCACCACAGGTGGAGGCTTAGCCCACCGCACCACTGTGCTGACCCCACTCACTGTTAACGTTGCTTGGATTGAGTATTTCACCTTGCCATACAGAACTTTATCACAAGTTGAGGAATAGTTTATCAACTTCATGATATTTATCTTTTTTCCCCCCAGAGACATCATTTCAGCTTTCCATCCATTTTTATTTATGGACATACTGCCAGTGGGAAGACCTATGTAACACAAACTTTGTTGAAAACTTTAGAGGTAAGAATAATCCCAAACTCAGTGCTAATTGATTTTTTAATCACAGACCCCTAGAAACGGTTCTTAACTTTTGTTTGAATCCCTTCACTGACTGTAAACTTTGAAAAGTGTTATTATTAGATCATTTGAATCTTGATGTTAAAATTTATTTTTTAAATTGGGTCAAATTTCCCTTTCTCTTTCATTTGCTGATTGATAATATTTGGAGGAAAACAGATGAGAAGTTGTTTTTAAAATATTACAATTTGTTTCTTTTTCACTGTTTATAATATTAATACTGATAATTTCTACAAATACAAAGCTAAACATATCACTTTACCTTACTTATCTTCCTGTGTTACCTGTCTCTGTGATTGATGTCACCAATGACAGAGCTGTCCAAAAAATCTTTAACTCTTTCTTCATCCTTACTAATCCAGTAAACCAAACCAAGAAACATGTTTTATTAATCTACACCCTCAAAATACTGACTCCATCTACTAGTAACCATAACTGTGCTCCCATTTCAGTTTCATTACCATTGTTTCTTCCATGTATTTTTGCATATCTCCTCGTTCCAATCCTGTCTTCACCCAACAGCTAGCTCACGCAAATCTTAAGGTCTTTAGGACAGTGTTCAAGTGATTTGCCTGATACGTAAGACCTTTCATGAGCTGAATTCAGTTGATCTCCCATCAAGTCATGATTGAGGGTTTGGAATGTCGAGTCTGGCAGAGTTGTGTTCCTCTTTTGGATTCACCACTTAGTGCTTTCCCCATCTGCAAAATAGGGGTCATAGTGACAACATGTAGGATTGTTAGGAGAACTAAATGTTAGTAATGAGATAAAGGTTAGTGGCTAACATATTCTAAGCCAGGGATGGGCAGAGTTTTTGCTAAGGGCAAGTTAGTAAATATTGAGGACTTGGGGGCAGCATGGTTTTTGTCTGGATTTCTTCACACTGCCATTGTATAAAAGTAGTGGTATTACCTGAATGGACGTGGCTGTGTTTCAGAGCAGTGTGTATACAAATAGGGGTGGCCAGCCCGCAGGGTTCAGTGTGCTGTCCCAGTCTTACTGGAGCCCTAAGGCTGCGTGGTTAGTGCAGCTCCCTGAAATACAGTCCTGGCTCTCTCACTTTCAAGGCTTGGCACGTGGTGCTCCCTCTGTTTTGGGTGATCCTTTACTCACTCTTCCACTACTGCCATATTGCTTGCCAAATACTGATTTTGTCACATTTTCTTCTAATATTCTAGGAAGCCCTTCCTGCCTCATTTGTGTTAAATGCCCATCTGTTTTGCAACCTTAGCACTCTGTTACAATATTTAGCCCTCCCAGCTGTGACTTTGTGTTGTGTTTCCCTGGCTTCAGACTGGGTTTCTTGATTATCCCCAGACCAGATAATAGTGTGTAACACATACCAGCTTGTGGATTTCAGCCTTTGATCATGAAGACCAGCTGTGCATTTTGAAAACTTGGGTGCCTGCTCTCTACAGCAAACTTTAGAATCTGAGAGGACAAGGTCCTGACCCAAGCCCTTACATCTGAGAACTCCTTTGTATTAGGCAGCCAAACAAATACATATTGAGGGTGGGCATTTGACACAGTGGTTAAGATGCCTGTGAGTTCCTTGGTTCTAGTCTGGGCTCTGCTTCTGATTCCAGTTTCCTGCCACTGTACATCTTGGCAGATAGCAAGTGATCATTCAAGCACTTGGGTCCCTGCTACCCAAATGGGAAACCTGGATTGAGTTCCAAGCTCTGAGATTCAGCCTAGCTCAGCTCCAGTTGTGGACAGTTGAGAGAAAAAAAAAAAAAAAAAGCCATACTGAATAAAAGCCTGCAAATCCAATAAGGAGGTTTTGTATTTGTATTAGTTAATTTTTCATTGTCACAACGAAACACATGAATCAAGCCACTTAAGAGAGAACACTTAAGAAGGAAGAAAGGTTTTTTTGTTTTGTTTTGTTTTGTTTTGTTTTGTTTTTTTAGCTAACAGTTTTGAGGCTAAAAGTCCATTCGGCATAATGCAGGCTTTGGTGAAGGCTCCGTGGTGATGATGGAGCTTGAGGGGGGGAAACAGTGAGAGAGGCTGGACTCTAATTCAGGCTTTTATACCAGTCTTTCACAAGAACTACCTGAAGGTATGCCCTAAGTGACCTAGACCCTCCCAGGAGGCCCTGTCCCCTGAAGGTTCTACCTTCACCCCCAATATTACCACCCTGGATCCAAGCTGCAACACATGGTCCCTTAGGAGACATTCGGTGTTCAGACTAATATCCAGACCTTAGCAGTATTTAAGGGCTATAGTCCATGTTTTCACCCATTGTAATTTTTGGTGCTATTTAATCAGTGAGGTGTTAATTTTTATGACTTCTGGTATAGGTGTACAAACAGGCACTTAGAATATGCTGTCATTGAAGGTTACAGATAGTAAAAATGGAATAAGCCAGATATTTAGGAGACGTTGTAGACTCCTGAGCTTAAAGGAATGGGGGTATAGAGGGTTTGCAAACACTGGTAAAACTGCCCAGGTAAATATGATATGGCCTTAGTTATGCTGTAGCTCTGAGAGAGAAAGAAAATCCTTGTAATTGAGTAAGATTTGTGAAATATCACTACAAATAGTTACTGCTGTATAGGTTTCATTATTTGTGCCAGATATCACAAGATATCTCCTTTGATCAGGGCTATTTTGTGATTTCATTTTGATAACAGACTGTATTTGTTTGTTTCCTTACTATTTCTGGAGTTAACTCATTAAAATTATTTTAAATTAATTTATTTTCATTTTACTTGAAAAGCCAAAAAGACACAGATAACAGAGACAGAGAAATCATCCATCCACTGGTTGACTCTCCACATGCCAACAGCAGCAGAGAGGCCAGAGCCAGGAACTCAGTCTATGATATGAGCTATAATCCTCATAGGAGAATCATTAGATTTTAACTCTTTAAATTTCCTTTTTGACCTAGACTTCTTCATCATTAAGGATTTGAACTTAAAATAATAAATTTGTATTTCCCACTTAGAATTTTAATATTCAAATACTTGGATATATTTATTAATAAGAATTGTTTAGAGTTTTCTTTGAATCTCTGTAGGAAACAAGTGACAGACCTAAAGAAATAATTGAAGTGAGTTTAGTAAAGGGAGTATTCTACAAAGGTTGAGGAAGTTTTAGAGGAACCAGTAAGGGATGTTGATGCATCAGGGCCTTTACCAACTCCAGGGCTGAAACAGTCATAGATAGGAGCTGTTGGCAGAACCCAGTAAGAATTGTAGCCTTAGAGAGAAGGCTGCCCAGCTCGAGCTGTTGGTTTTGGAAGAAACCAGCATCACACTGTGGCCCAGTAGGGGATGGTTGTTGGTCTCAGGGGAATAAGTATTCAGCTTCTTTTTCCTACCACTCTCCTTCAGTCTGCTGCTGCTGCCTCCCGTTGGTTTCTCCAGCCACAGCCAGAAAATAAAAGAGTCCAGGCTAATGCAGTATGTGGCATTCAAACTCCTGGGACAAGGACAGATTGGAGAACAGTGGGGGTGTAGATTCAGATAGGCAAATGGAAACTGTATAGCACAGCTGTTATTATATCTGTATGTTTGCTTTATTATTAATAATTTTTTTGGTTTTTGTTTTCAGCTCCCGCATGTCTTTGTGAATTGTGTTGAGTGCTTTACCCTGAGACTTCTTTTGGAGCAAATTTTAAACAGGTTGAGTCATCTTAGTTCTTCCGAGGATGGATATTGTACTGAAATAACCTGTGACACATTCAATGACTTTGTTCGCTTATTTAAACAAGTTACCAAAGCTGAAAGTCTCAAGGATCAGACTGTATATATTGTAAGTAACTTGATTATGTATCATCTCTTATTTGAAAATTGATTGCTTAGCGGATCAATTCCCTATATTTCTTTTGACTACCATTACGTACAGTGCTCTTTGAAAAGTGCTTTTGGAATACAGAAGTGTGCTAGATATATTCCTTATGCAAAGGGAGCTTTGTTTAATTTATGACACATATTCACCTGTGCAGTATTTGATAACTGACAGCAGTGAGATGCAGACTGCTTGCTTTTTTTTAAGATTTATTTATTTGAAAATCAGAGTTATGCAGAGAGAGAAGGAGAGGCAGAGAGACAGGTCTTACATCCGATGGTTCACTCCCCAAATGGCCGCAGCGCTGGAGCTGTGCCAATCCGAAGCCAGGAGCCAGGAGCTTCCTCCAGGTCTCCCACGTGGGTACTGGGGCCCAAGGACTTTGGCCATCTTCTACTGCTTCCCCAGACCATAGTAGAGCACTGGATTGGAAGTGGAGCAGCCAGGACTTGAACTGGCGCCCATATGAGATGCCGGCACTGCAGGCAGTGGTTTCACTTGCTACGCCACAGTGCTGGCTCCCACAGACTGCTGACTGAGGTGCATCTAGTATAGCTTTATGAGGTGATGCCCTTTGAGAAGGACCTAAGAGAAGGATCAGGGTGTTATGGAAAGAAACTGAAGAAGAATTTCAAATGCAAGGAATTATGTAAGCAAAGTGATATGGATGGAATCGGAGGCCAGAGAAGTCCAAATTGTCTAATTTTAGTGGATTATAAAGTATGAAAGGGGTTAAAAAGAAGACAGGAAAGGTAAGTTGGGGCCAGATTATGGAGGTTCTTGGCAAGTATTAACTTTATTTCATTTTATAGCACTTTATTTCCTAGGCAGTGAAAGGAGGTAGTAAATACTTAGAGCAACAAATATGCCTTAGGAAGGCTGCTCTGAATTCACATTGAATAGGTAGCGTTGAGGGAGATGAGAGACTGCAGGCTGAGGAATGGTTGTGACTGTCCACACAGGAAGAAAGTTGACTTTGGGCTAGAGTTGGGCAGACATGCAGAAAGAAAGAAATGGAGAAGATGGCAAATGTCTGACTTGTCAGCTGTGCATGGGTAGTTTTATGGACAAAGATGAATTATTTGATTTTAGCTTGGCTGAGTTTGAATCTAGTTGTTATGTCTATGTGAAAATGACTAGCATACAATTTCATCTTTGCACCTAAAAGAAGTACTTTATGGCTTCTCTTGAGCTTATCAAAAATGCCAGCATTATCAAGTAAAAATTCATGAATTCAGTGTGATACCACTAAAGTCAGTCTGATAAACAATATGACTTCCACGTGACTTAAATGGTGAGCAGTATCCATGGCATGGGTGCTCTGGACAAAGGGATGATTCAGGTGCTGGGTGAGATAGATTTTATCATGCTTCTCAGATCAATGCACAAGTCAAAACCTGTGAATTGCTTATTTCTGGCATTTTCCATTTCATGTTTTGGGACCACAGTTGACTATGGGTAACTAAAACATGGAAAGTAAAACTGCAGATTAGGGATGACTGCTGTAATGTGTTTTGTGTTAGTAAATTTTTCATAATACTTTAACCTTTTTTAAAATGATGATTATCTCTGGAATTGTAATTAAATTGTATATATAGTTCCTTACCGTAACAGCTAAGTAAGTTATAAATTCACTGAAGGGATCAAATCTTAGGTATTCTTGTGTTTCCTAAAATGTGTAAAACATTTTTTACATTTCTTCCTGCATTTTAGTTTCGCTCATTTATGTATTCAACAAGTATTATTGAGGACTTTATATATGTCAGGGACACTATTCCAGGTTTTGGAGATAGAACAAGGAACAGAACAAAGTCTTTGCCCAGTTGTAGCTGACAGTCTAATAAAGGAAGATAGGCCATAAGTAAGTTAATATGTAGTATGTCAGGTAAGATACATTAATAAAGGAAAGTAAAGGAGAATCAAGGAAGTGAGAGGCAGTAGTTATTTTCCCAAATAGGAAAGATCTGAGATGGTGGTACCTGAACTAAAGCCATAGGGAATTGAGGAGCAAACCATGAGGATCTCTGTAAAAAGAATATTCTAAGCAAAGAGGTTTGTGTGCGAATGCAAGGGTAATGAGCATGCCTTGTGTGTTTAAGGATATCAAGGAGGCCACTGTGACTGGAATAGCCTAAGCAGTAGAGGGTGGTATGTTGAGAATCGGCTGGAGGGTGAAAGGGTAGAAGCATAAAGACTAGGATGGTGGGCTGAGTTATTTCTCCCCCAAATTCATATGTAAAAGTTTTAACCCCCATTACCTTAGAACGTGACCTTATTAGGAAGAGAGGTCTTGGCACTCCTAATTAGTTAAACTGAGGTCATTCAGGAAGAGAATAGGTTTCAGATCCAGTATGACTGCTGTCCTTATGAAAGGAAGAAATCTGGAGATAGATACACAGAAATGTTGCCAAAAACCAAGGAATTTCAGGAAACTAGGAGAGAGGCCGAACAGAGACTTGTCTATCACCTTCAGAGTAACCATGGCCCTGCCAACACTTTGATGTCAGATTCTGCCCTCCACACCTGTGAGACAGTAAGTTTCTGTTGTTGAAGGTACCCGGTGTGTGGTATTTCGTTATGGCAGCCTCTGCCGTATTATATATTGTAATAAAAATTTTAATTATATTATATATTGTAATACAATTTTGCTCTTGTCATTTCCTGACACATAGCTTCTTAAAGCCGTTGCAATTTCCAAAATGCTAAATGGGGGTTTCTGAGACATTAGAGTTGGAACTCAGCCTCACAACCCGATACCTGGAGAGGGGAGAGTGGAGAGTGACCTAATCACCAATGGCTGATGATTTGATCAGCTATGCTTACATAATGAAGCCTTCATAAAAACTCGGGAGGATGGGGTTCAGGGAGCTTTGGATTGCTGGAGGTGCTGGGAGGGTGGCACACCTGGGGAGGGCTTGTAAGCTCTGTGCCCCTCCCCCATACCTTGTCCTAGGCATCTCTTCCATTGGATTACTCCTGAGTGTATCCCTTGTAATAAACAGGTAAATGTAAACAAATGTTTCTGTGAGTTTTATGAGCCATTCTAGTAAACTATTGGACATGAGGAGGGAGTACTGGGAACCCTGTCTCGTGGCCAGTCACTCACAGGGACAGCTCAAACTTTTACGATTGGACTGTGACATAGGAGAAGTTCCCTGGGATTGAGCTCTTAACTTGCGGGGTCTGGCACTAACTCCAGGTAGAAAATGTCACAGTTGACTTCAATTGTAGGACACCTACTTGGTGTCCAGAGAATTAAAAAATTGCTTGGCTTAGGAAAAAACCCACATTTTTTATCTCAAAAGTGTTGTGAGATAAGCAGTCACCCCCCGCCCCCACCCCCAGACAGCTCTAGGAAACAGCCTGTTTGTTTCTAGGAAATAACTAATACCACTTATTCTGAGGCTTTTGTGATAATCTAGTGGACAAAACATCACACTAACATGTACCAGGTTGGTAGCAGTATAGGTGGTGAGAAGTAGGTGTATTTTGAAAGCAGGGTTTATAGAGTTTCCTGATAAATTTTGTGTTGTGGAAGGATAAAAACGTCAGAGGCAGCTGACAAGTGTTTGAGTCTGGGGTTGCGATTATCTAAAAGAAGACCCCAGCTGGTGGGGAATTGCAGAGGAGGGGGAGAATGATGAGGAGTTTGACTTGGGCATGTGAAGTTGGGGTGGAGATCCTGAGTTTGCAGGTGCACATGAGTCTGGAGTCCAAGAGAGGTCTATTGTGGAGACATTATTTCGGAGTTGTGAGCACATGGGTTACACCTGGAGCCCAGATAAGGTCAACCAGGGTGAATAACTGAGAAGAGAGGGGCGCCCAGGACATTGAGGAAATGAAGAACCTGGTGCTGTATAAAGAAAACTTGGAGAGTGCTGTGTCCTGCAGTCTGGCTAGGCCACCCCTCTCCTAGTCCTTTGGCTAGTGCAGGCTTTAGTCCTTTGGCTAGAGCAGGCTTTTGTTGGGGCTTTTTTTGGTCTGTATCAATTTGCCCTCTTTTATTTGCATTATATAAGTTTCATGTTTTTAATACATTTAAGATTTATTTATTTATTTGAAAGTCAGAGTTATACAGAGAGGAGAGGCAGAGAGAGAGAGAGAGGTCTTACATCTGCTGGTTCATTCCCCAGTTGGCAGCAATGGCCGGAGCTGTGCCAATCCGAAGCCAGGAGCCAGAAGCTTCTTCCAGGTCTCCCACGTGGATGCAGGGGCCCAAGAACTTGGACCATCTTCTACAGCTTTCCCAGGCTATAGCAGAGAGCTAGATTGGAAGTGGAGTAGCCGGGTCTTGAACCAGCGACCATATGGGATTGCTGGAGCTCCAGGCTAGGGAGTTAACCCACTGCGCCACAAAACTGGCCTTGGAAAAACTAAGTCCTGGCCCTGGAAAAACTAATTTCTATCTTCTTAGTAAATTTTAGCTTCATTTTGTCTAATTAGGATTGAAATATCTTAAATGAATATTCTTATACATTGTTTCAAGCTTTCTACTAAATAACAAAGCAGATACAAAACAGTTTGGGGTACTTGAGGAAGCACTGTTTCATACATTTTAATTTTATTCCTAAATGATCATAATTTGCAATAGTGCTTATTAGTAAAGAACAAGTATTTAGGGGAAAAAAAGAGATTTCTTAGGAGAAAAGGTGATTTTAGGTCTGTGAAGAAAATATACAGAATGACCATAGAACATCTTACCATCTTAGAAAATGGGAAGATTATCAGTGACTACTGGAGTCATTTAAAAAAAAGACACAGAAGGGGTGAGTATTCGACCTAGTATTTAAGAGACCATGTCCCACATGGGAATGCCTGGGTTCAGTTCCCAGTTCTTGCTCCCAGTTGCAATTTCTCACCAACTTCTCACCGACTTGAACCCTTGGAGTAGCAGATGGTTGCTCAGGTGGTTGGTGTGCACCACCCAGGGCAGAGACCTGACTGAATTCTTGGCTCCTGACTTTGGCCTTGTCCTGGCCCCAGCTGTTGTAGGCCTTAGGGGAGTGCCCAGTGAATGGAAGCTCAGTCTGTATGTCTCTATCTCTCTCTTGAGTGCACTCCCTCTCTCTCTCTCTCTCTCTCTCTCTCTCTCTCTCTTTCTCTCTTTTGCTCTCTCTGCCTCTCAAGTAAATAAGTAAATATATAAGACATAGAAGTCAATTTTAAAGAGGTCCCACTGGCCAAGGATAGGACAGTTTAACGGTCAAAAATATAATGAATTCAATGGATGGTAACACATATTAGCATTCTTAAAATCCTTAAATTCCTAACAGTACTAAACAAATGCTTAAAAACTACAAAATCTCAACTAAATGGTTACCTTGGGAGTTTGTTTTCCTGAAGATATCTCTGGGACCCGTCAGTGTTACTGATTTGGAAACAGTGTCTTTGTACGTACAATTAAGTGAACAGTCTTGGGATGGAGAGATTTACCTGGTTTATCTGGATAAACCAAAAATATAATCATTAAGTAGCTGTACAGTAGAGAGAAACAGAGTGAGATTTAACTATACTGCACCCACACAGGAGAAAGCCAGGTAGCAAAAATGGAATAAAGCAGTCAATGGGAAATTTGAAGATGCTGGCCTTAAAGATCCGAGTGATGTGACTACAAGCAAAGGAATGCTGACAGCCTCCAGAAGCTGAACTAGGCAAGAATGAATTCTTCCCTAGAGCTGCTGGAAGGAGTGTGGCCCTGCTGACTCCTTGATTTCTGGCTCTGTAAAACTGACTTCAGATGCCGTCTTTCAAACATGTGTGAGAATAATTTTTAATTCTGTTTTAAGCCACCAACTCTGTTGTCATGTCACAGGAATCTAGGTACAAACTCATTATTCCAAAAATGAGCAAATAGAAAGAACAGGCATTTTTTTCTCTTGTCTTTTGAGAACTTTGTTTTTGGATGAGTGAAAGTTTATTTTAGAAAAATGTCTGCCAAAAAATGCAGAAAGAATGACAGAAGATTACAATTTTGCAATCCCTAATAAAATAATGGATCTAGGCAGTGATCATCAATTAATACCATTGGTAAAAGGCCACCAGGGAACTTTATAATGGATGGATCAAACTAATAACACCTAAATATTAACATCACAAAAAAAGGGGTGACCAGGTATTGTATGCCTGTTGTTGTAGTGCAATAAGAAATACACAGTACTGTTTATGATCTGGTTTTGCCCAAAACTTGAGCGGGAATCTGATCAAATGTTTAGATATATCAGCTCTTTTATAGGAAATATGTGCAATGTAGAAATATTAAATGCCATTACATGGGTATAGTCAACTATTTCAGAAAATGGAAAATTCTGTATGACAGATAATCTGGTTTGTTTTTAACAAATAATAAAGAAATAAAGAAGGATAGAGGGAACTGTTAATAATTTAAAAGATTTACAAGACAAACCACGTGTAATAAGATGCAATGCATAAACCTTTTTAAATGTTGAATCACACTAGCTACCTATAAGAAAATATTAGTGGTACATGTGGGAACATTTGAATACTGATTGTTAGATGGTATTAAAGGATATTGTTATTCTATAAGGCATGATATAATTATACTGTGTTTATATTTTAAAAGTCCTCATCTCTTAGAGCTACATAACATACTGGCATATTAATAAGATGGAATTATAAAATTTCTAGGATTTGTTTTTGTATAATTCAGCAAGATAATAGAGAGCAGTTAGGCTAGGGGTGATTTAGATGAAACAATACTGGTCTTTTTTTTAAGATTTATTTATTTATTTGAAAGACAGATTTTACACAAAGAAAGGCAAATAGAGAGATCTTCCATCTGCTGGTTCAGTCCCCACATGGCTGCAGTGACCGGAGCTGGGCCAGGCCAGAGCCAGAAGCTTCTTCTGGGTTTTCCTCATGGCCGCAGCGCCCCAAGGACTTGGGCATCCTCTGCTGCTTTCCCAGGCACATTAGCGGGGAGCTGGATCGGAAGTGGAGGATTGGGACTCTGTTGTCCATATGGGATGCCAGCATCACAGGTGGCAGCTTTACCTGCTGTACCACAATACTGGCCCCAAGATTGGTCTTTTGTTGTTGTTTATTTGGGTTGGTTGGGGGTATATGAGGGTTCTTAGTACTCATCTCTCTACTTTTTGTGTGTATTTAAAAATTTCCATCATCATAAGTAAAAGCAAGTTAGACTAAATATTATAGATAATGCTTTTAACGCTTTCATTTTTTTTAATGCACTGATGGGTGACCTCTTAAAGCTTTTTTAAAAACATTTTTTAATTATGGGAATTTCAAACATAGGTAAAGTCAAGAGAATAGTGTCTTGTACACCAGTGAACTCATCACCCAGTTAGAAGAATGGCTGACATGGTGGCTGAACTTGTGTAACCTGTACACCATTCACTATGCCATCCATAAATACTTCACTGCATATCATTGAAAGATAAGGACCCTTTTAAAAACACAATTCTAATAGGATTGTCTACCACTGAACAAAAGTTTAATGTTTCTTTTTTTTTTTTTTTTTTTTTTTGACAGGTAGAGTTATAGACAGAGAGACAGAAAGGTCTTCCTTCCATTGGTTCACTCTCCAAGTGGCCACAATGGCCGGCGCTGTGCCAATCCAAAGCCAGGAGCCAGGTGCTTCTTCCTGGTCTCCCATGCAGGTGCAGGGCCCAAGCACCTGGGTCATCCTCCACTGCCCTCCAGGGTCACAGCAGAGAGCTGGACTGGAAGACGAACAACCAGGACTAGAACCCGGGGTGCCGGCGCCACAGGCAGAGGATTAGCCATGTGAGCCATGGCGTGCCCCCAATGTTTCTTAACATTATTGGTTATCTAGTTTAAATAAGAAGTTGTCATCAGGGCAACTTATACCATCTTTTTAGGAATATCTTTTTTTGGACCAGTGCTGTGGCACAGCGGGTTAAAGCCCTTGCCTGCAGTGCCAGTATCCCATATGTGGGCCAGTTCTAGTCCCAGCTGCTCCTCTTCCGATACAGCTCTCTGCTATGGACTGGGATAGCAGTAGGTGAAGGCCCAAGCCGTTGGGCCCCTGCACCCATGTGGGAGACCTGGAAGAAGCGCCTGGCTCCTGGCTTCAGATTGATGCATTTCCGGCCATTGCCGCCATCTGGGGAGTGAACCAGTGGATGTAAGATCTCTTTCTCTCTGTCTCTACCTCTCTCTGTGATTCTGTCTTTCAAATAAATAAAATAAATCTTTTTTTTTAAAAAGTATCTTTTTAATGTAGCTACTTAGACATTTCGGTTAAAGTGTGTTATAGTAGCCTACTTTTTAACATTTATTTCACCTATTTGAAATGTTTTTCTACAAATGTAAATGACATTTTAAAAGTTAATTCAGCTGTTACAGTTTTTCTTAATGACATGAAAGTTCAAGTTTTGAATTTTGCAGTATGTTATGTAAATGATTTATAAAGGGCTTTGTAAATTGTGTTTTACTGCCTTTTCTTCTTCTTCATTGAAGGTTCTTGATAAAGCAGAGTATCTAAGAGATATGGAAGCAAATCTTTTGCCTGGGTTTCTTAGGTTACAAGAATTGGTAAGTGATGTATTATACTGATTTTTCCCCACAATGTAATCGATCGATTATGTCATCAAATGTTTTCATTTTACCCTCTGAGATGTTTACTAGAGTAAATGATGGGGCATTTAAATTCTCTACAAGGATTTTTAAATTTTCCATTCAGTAGCCTAAAAATGAATGGTATGACTATTCTGGATTTTCTCAATTTCTGTTTTATGAGAGTACTTCAGAAAGTTTGTGAAAAAGTGAAATTAAATAAGTTTATTTTGATGCAAAATAATTTTAAAATCTATGCAGTTTTTTTTCCTAATTTTCGTTTTCCATAAACTCTTTGAAGAGCCCTTACACTCAGTTTCCTATTTCAATTTACAAATGTGTTGGTACCAAATGGTCCTGTCCCTGTGGATGGCATGATCCTGTGAGAAAACAACAAGAATGGGGGGCGGGGGGGGGGTAAATTATGTGGATATGTGGCAAGTGAGAGCCAAATAATAATAATAATAATAATAATAGGATTTTTGTAGTAGGTAAATAAAGAAAATTGCTGAGAGAATTCACTCTTCAGCAGTTCTGGTTAGCATAGGGGTTCCATGATAGAGAAGGAGCCATGGCTGTTTATTGTTAGGACCCTGTTCACAAAGGAAGCAAAGGTTTAGTTTGAGTAGGATGGTATATTGTTCTTATTCAGTAAATATTCATTTGAATTCTTTGGTTTTGTAGTTTCCATTTAATTTACAATTTTTTTGTTTTATAATTTTGTGTTTTGAGCATAAAATAGCTTGTACCTACCTAGTTTTAATTATGTATGCATTAAAGTATTAAGTAACAACAGTATCATAAAAAGTAAATATTTGGGGAGAAGTGCTTAGAACATTTCCTCTTTTCAAAGTTAAATACATTACTCAAATTTGAGAAACTGCTTAGTTTAGGGAGGCCTTCTAAATGCTATGGAAATCACTGCAGCTCCTAAGGCCAATTCCTAAGGCTCACTGTCAGCAGTAGTCCTAGGACAGGAGGGTGGAGAGCACACGGGGAGTGGGGGCGGGGGGTGAGTGTGGCTACTGGTGGTCTGTGCTGGGAGTTAACCTCACAGTCTAGTCTTTCCTGGTTTCATTGACTTAGCATTTTCTGAAGGGGACCAGGGACCTGTCCCTTAGGAAGAGAGAGACAGACAGACAGACAGAAAGGAACAGGTCTTCCATTTGCTGCTTCACTTCAAATGGCCCCAGTGGCCAGAGCTGTGCCCATCCGAAGCCAGGAGCCTGGAGCTTCTTCTGGGTCTCCCACGTGGGTGCTTCCACTGCTTTCCCAGGCCATAGCAGAGAGCTGGATCAGAAGTTGAACAGCCAGGACTCAAACCAGCGCCCATGTGGGATGCTGGCACTGCAGGCGGCCGCTTTATCCACTACACCACAGCTCCTGCACCTTCTTTGCATATTTTTACCCACTGTTTTTCAGTGCTTTGCTTTGGGACTCCCCATCTGGAATCCAGAGTGTGTTCTTGCCCTTCCAGGGTAAATTACCCTGTGTTTTCCTCCTTGTGCCCAGGAATGATGATCATGTACCCATAGTTAGGACTTTCACCATTTTTTAGTTTTAATTATGCAAGCTATTTAAAGAAAATTAATGAGTTCACAGCAGTCTGAAATCTGTCAGAAAAGAAAATTGTTTAGAAATTTCTGAAACATACTTGATTTATGTGTTTTATTCAAGAGAAATTTAGCAAAAACATTTCTCATTTTTATATATTTAGTATCTGAGTAAAAAAAATTTTGTTTGGTAACAACTGTTGTATACTGAAAATACTTTCTCATGAATAGATAAGAATGTTACCAATCTAAAATCCTTTCAGACTGATAAGTATCTTTTTTTAAGCTCTCTATATTTTTAACTGTATAAAATGTTTTTAGCTAATTATAGTGAAGTAAAAATAATGCAGTGCTTTTGTAATCAGGATGGTGTTTAGAGCATACTTTTTTTTTTATACCATACAAGTATATTCATAGATTCTGTAAAAATCAGTGAATTTCTAGCCAGTGTTGTGGCATAGCCAGTTTTAAGCCATCCCTTAAGAATGCCAGCAGAGCATATCAGAGTGTCAGTTCAAGTACCTGCTGTTTTGCTTCCAATCCAGCATCCTGCTACTGTGCCTGGATAAGCAGTGAATGATGGCCCAAGTGTTTGGGCCCTTGTATCCACATAGGAGACAAGATCGGGTTTCTGGCTTTGACCTGACCCAGTCCTGGCTGTTGAGGCCATCTGGAGAGTTAATTGGGATAGAAGGTGTCTTTCTCTGTCTCCCTTTCTCTGTTGCTTTGTCTTTCAAATAAATAAATTATTTAAATCTTTTTAAAAAGTTAGTGAATTTGGGGCTAGCACTGTGGTGCAGCGGGTTAGGGCCCTGGCCTTCAGTGTTGGCATCCCATGTGGGCGCCGGTTGGAGTCCAGGCTGCTCCACTTCTAATCCAGCTGACTGCTATGGCCTGGGAGAGCAGTTCTTGGGCCCCTGTACCCTCGTGGGAGACCTGGAGAAAGCTCCTGTCTCCTGGCTTCAGATCAGCTCTGCTCTGGTCTTTGCGGTTGTTTGGAGAGTGAACCAGTGAATGGAAGATCTTTCCTTCTGTCTCTCCTTCACTCTGTGGTTCTGTCTTTCAAATAAATAACATAAATCTAAAAAAAAGTGAATTTGTAAGACAAAGCATTTGGAAATAAAAATCCTTTCCTCTCATAGAGATGTTAAATTTTCTGTGGAATTATGTATTCAGATCTTTTTGTTAACTAAATAAGCAATGAAAATCATACAGGTGAGGAATCAGTAAATCACTCAGTGTCAAAATACAGTATAGGGGCCAGCACCATGATGCATTAAGTTAATCCTCCTCCGCCTGTGGTGCCGGCATCCCATATGGGTGCCGGGTTCTAGTCTCAGTTGCTCCTCTTCCAGTCCAGCTCTCTGCTGTGGCCCGGGAGGGCAATGGAGGATGGCCCAAGTGCTTGGGCCACCTGGCTCCTGGCTTCAGATCGGCACAGCTCCGGCCGTTGCGGCCATTTGGGGGGGTGAACCAACGGAAGGAAGACTTTTCTCTCTGTCTCTCTCTCTCACTGTCTATAACTCTACCTGTCAAATACATAAAAAAAAATCTTTAAAAAATATACAGTACAGTTTATGTGGAAGACTGGTTCTAGGGTCATCCACTGCTGACCAAAACAGCTTTCTTTCTGCTTTGTTAGCCTAGGAATGCCAAAATAATATGGAGAAAATTAAAGTTTGTGTAGAGAATGCAGAGATGAATACACAAAATGTCAGCTAGCTTGTTTAGGACAATTATGGCCATGCTGTAGTATGATAACAGGCTCTCTTAATATTTGTTGATATAGTAATTTCTACATATATGAATATTTCAAAAGATAAGTATTTTGCTTAATGTTGATGTTCTAGATGATAATACTCGTAGTTTGAGCTTTTATTGTTTATTGAACATCAGTTTTACTTAGCGATTGATGTAAACATAACCTTAAGGAAAACCTTTAATGTTCCTAGTATGCGCTGTTATGGGGGATAGATATGGCATATCTATTTTCCTTTAACTGCATATTAACTTTTCTGTGGGTTGCTGAAGCTTTTTTAATGATGAGAAATGATAAGCTTTGCCTTTTTAAATTTACTGATGAAAGCTTATGATTTTTTTGAGAATTTACATAAAAGTTTTGTCTTAATTATTCAAGTAAGTGTTTTTCTTAATTTCTAAAGTAAATCTCATGTGACTATCTTAACATCCTTGAGAACAGATATATTGAATATTTGCAAGTAGATGATTAGGTTTTCTAAAATAACATACAAATGATGTGTTTTATGTTAAAATTGCACTGGAATTTAAAAATTTTTTTAGAAAGCTTGTATTTAATACATACAAATTTCATAGGTACAGCTTTAAGAAAGTAGTGGTTCTTCTCCCATACTCTCCTTCCCACCCCTCTTCCCATCCCATTTCCTACTCCCTCTCCCATCCCATTCTTCATTAAGATTCATTTTTAATTATCTTTATATACAGATGACCAGCTCTATACTAAGTAAAGATTTCAACAGTTTGCACCCACACAGACACAGAATGTATAAAGTACTGTTTGATGACAAGTTTTACTGTTATTCTGATAGTAGAATTCATTGAGAACAGAGGTCCTACATAGGGAATAAGTGCACAGTGACTCCTGTTGTTGATTTAACAATTGACACTCTTATTTATGATGTCAGCAATCACCCGAGACTCTTGTCATGAGCTGCCAAGGCTCTCACTCACAGAGATCTTTCATTTAGGTCATTTTTTTGCCACAGTGTCTTGGCTTTCCATTCCTGAAATGCTCTCATGGGCTTTTCAGCCAGATCAGAATATCTTAAGGGCTGATTCTGAGGTCAGAGTGCTGTTTAGGGCATTTGTCATTCTAAGTCTGCTGTGTGGCCTGCTTTCCATGTTGAATCGTTCTCTCCTTTTTAATTATATTGTTATTAGCAGATAACTGATCTTATTTATATGATCCCTTTGACACTTATTCCTATCTGTATGATCAGTTACACACCTAAAATGATCACTTTAACATGTAAGATGCCATTAGTACCACCCTTCCTGGAATTTTTAAAGGAAAAATGTAAATGGAATTATTGCTTTGATTAATACTTTTAAATGCAAAGCTTTTTTTTTTTCTTTTACAGACTGACCGAAATGTGACTGTTATATTTCTCAGTGAAATTGTTTGGGAAAAGTTTCGTCCAAATACTGGATGCTTTGAACCATTTGTCTTGTATTTCCCTGATTATAGCATAGGTAAATTTTTAAAGATTGTTTTGGCAAATGATATTCAGTAGATTTAATGTTGTTTGAAAGATTAAGCTAGCGTGTTTAAAGTGGGATGTGTTCTGAACTGATAAAGTACACTGCCAATTTCAAATACAGTGTCCTTTATATTTCTGTACTATATTTTTGAAGTTATAATTTGAAACTTTTAGGAATTATTCTTGTATAAGTCCTGAAGTTTTTTGAATGAGCAACTTTTATATCTTTGTGCTAACAGCATATTTTTATCATTTTTTAGTTGGTACATTAAAATATGCAGCAATTATGATATCCATACGATTAAAGTAGACTATAATGACGAAGCATACTAAAATTATATTGAAACATTTATTTATAATAAAATTGGGTTAAAATACCATGTGTAATATATCTTTTGATTTTGTGAATCTTGTTTTTCATTCTTGTAACTTTTGTAGTACCAGCCACTAACTCTTAAATGTCTTTTTTAGGGGGTTGAATTTAAACTTAGATTTCATAGATCTTGATTAATTCTGTCTTTGTAAGAACACATTAGCTCTTTGTGTTGCTAAATAGCTTTGTAGATTACTACTGTGTTGTCAGTATACAAGTGTAAAACTTCTGATTCAAAGATTATAACTGTGAAGTGTGTATGAAAAAATAACATCCCTTGCCTTGTTGATGAACAGTATTATTCTTGTTTGTTTTTGTGCTTTTTTTTTCTTCATACTATTCGGTGAACTCTCTACTTAGGGGGTTAACCTTTTTAGTATAAAATTAATTGAAAATTGATCTCAGTAAAAAATAAGAATGGTAAAGGGAGAGGGAGGAGGAAGAAAGGTGGGAGAATAGGTGGGAGGGAAGTGGGGGGGAAGAATCACCATGTTCCCAAATTTGTTTATATTAAATGCATGAAGTTGTATTCCTTAAACAAAATTAAAGAAAAAAATAGCATCAGCCGGCACCGCAACTCAATAGGCTAATCCTCCACCTGCGGCACTGGCACCCCAGGTTCCAGTCCTGGTCGGGGCGCCAGACTCTGTCCCGGTTGTTCCTCTTCCAGTCCAGCTCTTTGCTGTGGCCAGGGAGTGCAGTGGAGGATGGCCCAAGTGCTTGGGCCCTGCACCCCATGGGAGACCAGGAGAAGCACCTGGCTCCTGCCTTCGGATCAGTGCGGTGTGCCGGCTGCAGCATGCTGGCCGCAGCGGCCATTGGGGGGTGAACCAATGGCAAAAGGAAGACCTTTTTCTCTGTCTCTCTCACTCTCACTGTCCACTCTGCCTGTCAAAAAGAAAAAAGAAAAAAATAGCATCCCATGACGCTGGCCTCACTGCCACTACCCCTCTGGATTTATCTTTTGTAAATATTCATTGTTAAGATCAACACATTTTTGCCTATTTTCACAAGAACAACAGGCAAGTATCACCTCCTGTCCTAGCTAATTAATTGATTTTTTTTAAGTTACCCAAAATAGAAAAGGGGAATCCTTATTTTCAGTAACGTCTCATCCATGGGGGGAAAAAATCACAGAATCAAAGGATTTAATTTTTTAATTTAATTTTATTTATTTATTTGAGAGGTAGAGTTACAGACAGTGAGAGGGAGAAACAAAGAGAAAGGTCTTCCATCCGCTAGTTCACTCCCCCAATGGCCGCAGCAGCCAGAGTTGTGCAGATCAGGAGTCAGGAGCTTCTTCCAGGTCTCCCACGCAGGTGCGGGGGCCCAAGTGCCTGAGCCATCTTCCACTGCTTTCCCAGGCCATAGCAGAGACCTGGACCAGAGGAAGAGCAACTAGAACCAGCACCCATATGGGATGCCAGCGCCACAGGTGGAAGATTAACATTACTGCGTCACAATGCTGGCCCCAGGATATAATTTTGAAAATCGCTTTGAAGCTCTCATCCCTACTTATGGTTAAACTTTTCATGACCCATTTTAGATCTAAGTATTAAAAAATTACTAGAATTTAAGAAAATTTCAAAATGCTGGTTTTCTGCATCTTAGTAAATATGAACTAAAGAATGATATAAAATTCTGTTGCAGCTTCTAAAAGTAAAGACACAGCAGCATGGATGAAAAAAATTTAAATAACAGTGATCTTGCTAGTTTCTGAGCATAGGATAATAGATTTTTTTTTTTTTTTTTTACAGGCAGAGTGGACAGTGAGAGAGAGAGACAGAGAGAAAGGTCTTCCTTTTGCCGTTGGTTCACCCTCCAATGGCCGCCGCGGCCGGCGCGCTGCGGCCGGCGCACCGCGCTGATCCGATGGCAAGAGCCAGGAGCCAGGTGCTTTTCCTGGTCTCCCATGGGGTGCAGGGCCCAAGCACCTGGGCCATCCTCCACTGCACTCCCTGGCCACAGCAGAGGGCTGGCCTGGAAGAGGGGCAACCGGGACTAGAACCCGGTGTGCCGGCGCCGCTAGGCGGAGGATTAGGCTAGTGAGCCGCGGCGCCGGCCTAATAGATTTTTGAAAAGTGTTTAGTAGGGGATGGCACTGTGAGGTAGAAGGTTAAGCCTCTGCCTACAGTGCTGGCATCTCATATAGTTGCCGATTCGAGTCCTGGCCATTCTACTTCCGATTCACCTGCCTGCTAGCGCTCCTGGGGAAAGCAGAGGAAGATGGCCCAGGTCCGTGGGCCCCTGCACTCACGTGGGAGACCTGGAAGAAGCTCCTGGCTCCTGGCTTCAGCCTGGTGTAGCCCCAACCATTTTGGCCTTTTGGGGAGTGAATTAGCAGATGGAAGGTCTTTTTCTATGTATGTCTGCCTTTCAGATGAATAAATAAATCTTAAAAAAAAAAAAAAAGTATATAGTAATGCAGCCAAGTCAAATCTGACTACTAAATTTTGTGACCTTTTACATATCAAGTCCTTTTGAAGAAAAATCATTATCATCAGAAAAAAGGCAAAAGAAAACACTAATAAGTCAAATTATGGTTAGAGGAAGCAAGCATGGAACCAGAGCAAAGGGATGGATTTAGTGGTCAGTGTCATCAGTCATGATAACTTAGTATGTAAAAAGGACTTCAAAAAGTTCATGGAAAAATGGACATTCATCAAATAAAAACTTTAAAAAATGAAAAATGGAATTAAAAGATAACGCCCATTTTCCATGAACTTTTTGAAGTCCTTCATAAATCATCTTTAGGAACATGGTGTCCAATAAGGACACCTCTTCTCTCACTACTTACAGCTTGGAGGCCAACTTGGAAGTCTCCCATGCATACTACTCATCTTCTGGTCATTTTTTCTTCAGATAGATTATAATATACTTGATCAGGTTTTTGGCTCAAGTATTGTATCAGAAAAAGTTAAGTGATTCTCTGATGGCAATCTGAAATTTTCAGTATCTTAGAATTTTGTGCTTTGCCTTCTTTATTGCTATTGTACTATATTTTATTTACATATTTATTATAATACCTTATCGTACTATTTCTTAAAAACCCCATAATGTTGTGTTGTCCTTAAAGAAATAAGGAGGCAAAAAAGAAAATATCTTTTGTTGTTTATCTGCTTTGGATTTTTGAGCTTCTTAGAGCTGTGAGTGTTTAGTTTCATCAACATTGGAAAAATTTCAACTATTATTTATCCAAATATTTTGTCTTCCTTTTTTTCTGGGACAGCATCATTAGTATATTAGACTTCTTGCTACTGTTCTATTGGAAGTCTTCATTTAAATTTTAAATCTTTCTGTGTTTTTTTTTTTTTTTGGATAGTTTTTATTTTTATATCTTTAAAAATCAGGGACTTTTGTTGCCACGGTTGTCTAATCAGCAGTTAATCTCTTCCTGTGGAATTTTTCATTGCACATCTTATGCTCTTCCTTTATATATTTGAGTGAATATAGTTATAATAGTTGTGTTAATGCTCTGTCTGCTAATCTCATTATCTACTTTTTTGGATATCCATTGTGCTTTCCTCTGTGTCTAATAATTTTGATTGAATTATAAGCATCATGTTGTGTGTGGGGCTGTTTTCTGATAAGCATTTTTAATTACTTGAAGCTATATTTGACCATTTTGAGGCTATTTTTAAAACTTTTTTAGAGAGGGGATATAGAATAGTCTTTATTCCAAAACTAATTTTAGCTCCTCTTCTAAATTATGGCCTTTCAGAATTCTTTTCTGAATCCTCTGTGTATTAGCATTGTCTCCACATTCTGAGAACAATTCAGAACTCTGAGTTCTAGGATTTGACTTAGAGATCTCCAGTAATTGTTTTCTCCTAGAGGTCCTTTAGTTTTAACCTTACAGAGGTTTACGTTGTGCGTAAATTTGGGATTCAGAGAATATGGGAGGGGAACCCTGTACAAATTTCTGGGATACTTTTTCTGCATCATTCACTCCCTTGGTGCTCTGCCCTGCAAATTCTAGCTGCCTTACCTCCCTCTGGCCTCTGTTTCCTCAGCTCAGTGTTACTAACAGACTCCATTTGAAACTCTCCTTGCACCACAGTCTTAAAATTGCCTCCCTTTAGATGTCCTGGCTGATAGGACTCACTCATTTCTCCTTTGTCAGGTGTGATAGTCCTCTACTGCCTTGATATCTAAAAATAGTTTTCTATCTTATATTTAATTTTTTTTTAAGATTTACTTGTTTGTTTGAAAGGCAGAATTAAGAGAGAGAGAGGGAGAAAGAATGATTTCCCATTCGCTGATTCTCTTCCCAAATGACTGTAATAGCTGGTGCTGGGCCGATACAGAGCCAGGAGCCAGTAGCTTCATCTAGTCTCCCATGTGGGTACAGAGGCCCAGGCATTTGGGCTATCCTCCACTGCTCTCCCAGGCCATTAGCAGGAAGCTGGATTGGAAGTGGAGCAGCTGGGACTTCAACTGGCACCTATGTGGGATGCCGATGTCACAGACAGTAGTTGTTTTTCACAGGGGCATGAAAAGTTTCTGACTCTTTTTACTCCCTTACAACTGGAAGCCAAAGCCTCTCTCGAAGTTAGGAATGATTTTTCTTTGTGTGTTAAACCAGAGGCACAGAGATGGAGGTGAGAGGGCTCCCTTGCACAGGAGCTTCTGTCCCTATAGAGTTGGGGTATGCCAGACTCCCAGCCTGTGGCTGCATGCAGCAGCTGGAAGCTCTCTGAAACCTATCATTCAGAGCTTTTAATGGAGACATCACTTAATAGGCCTGATGCATGAAATCATTGGCCATTGGTGGCGGCCTCGATCTCCAGCCCTTCTCTTCTCTTCTCTCTGGAGCAGGTCCTCTCATCTGACAACCAGTCTTCTGAAGCTATCAAGGGACCCAGCTAAAGTTACCTCATTAGTATAAACCCCTGCATGTTTCAAAGATGATTACTGTGAATTACAAAAGATGCTCCTCTCAGCCCTGTCACTTTGGAAATTCCAAGGTCTTTAGAAGCTTGGTCCCTGAATCCGTACTGAGATCAAATGAAGGTTTTTTTTTTCTTGTCACAAAACCGTACTTTGCTGCACTACTCTCACAACAGTTTTATCATTCCTAAATTATTGCTGAACCTGCATGTGGGGAGCAACTCGGACTAGACTAAGTTACTGGAATTAAGACTTATTCTATGCATCTGCTTTCCCACAATATGGCGCTGGGAGAGGAGCAACCAGCTTCTACGCAGCTGCCTCCAGTTCAACCAATAAACTGTAGGACCTGCTCCTGATTGGAGGAGAGCAGCATACTCGGCGTGTGGGTAGCAGAGTTGGGATTGGTGGAAGAGGACTATAAAGGAGGAGAGAGACAACATGCACCAGGAACATCTATCTGAAGGAACACCTGTGCAGCCCCCAAGAGAGCCGGCCGGCGGTGTGCCGCTCCCCCGTGGAAGTGGGGAAAGTGGCTAGGGGGAACCGCCCTTCCACGGAGGTGGAAGGGATGGTAGCCAACCCGGGAAGAACCAGCAGCAAACCCGGGAAGGGCCGAGCAGACAAAAGAACAGCGCAGGGTCCTGTGTCGTTCCTCCACGAAGAGGGGGAGCGACACCTGCATATTTATTTTTTTAAGACCTCTGTTATAAAATGCTAGAAGATAATGACTGAGTTGCTTTGTTAGTCATTTTAAGTTTATTTTGTCTTGTGAACAGGAAACCTTCAAAAAATTCTGTCTCATGATCACCCCCCAGAGTATTCAGCCGATTTCTATGCTGCCTACATTAACATTCTTCTTGGAGTTTTCTACACAGTGTGTCGGGACTTGAAAGAGCTCAGACACCTGGTGAGTGAGCATTTTGCTTTAAATGAGTATGTATCTTGTCACACTTTTCTAAATATAAGTGATGTGGGACTGAAACCCAGAGACGGGGCTAGAGCCTTCTGAGGCCAGTACACCATGCCAGGTCATTCATCCATTCATCTTCGGTTGTGTCTTTTCATTCTGCCTTACAAGTGTGACTTTTCTTTTCTCTGACTACAAAAAAAAAATGTAGTATTCCACTGAAGTCAAAATAGTAACAGAAAGGAGATATAAAAACTTCCAATTTTACATCCCTGTTAACCTTTTGCAGCAGTTTTTCTCCCAGGATTTCTGTATATAGTAACTATATCCTAGAATCTAAATGGATTTGAGTGTAGTTAGGTTTAATTATGGGTCTTTCTTTAGACACTAACCTTGAGATAATAGTTTTTGTATAAAAGATTCTTAAAAATTTTTTTTAATTAGAATAACTTTATATTCCACAAGCAGTCTGGGAAATGTGTAATTTTTCTTTGACCCTTTCACTTTACTTATGGGGACGTGAAAGAAGGCAAGCATGTCTGGCTTTCTATTCAGAAACTTTCTGTTACTACTTCAGGTCTTATCTCCATGTGACAGAAAGGAGTAATATAGCTAAGGCTGGACAGCAGTTGTTTTCAGAGTAACATATTTTGTATACCTCAGCCTATTTTCCTTTCTTTGTCCTGAAAGGTATTACTTAAACGGATTCAGTATTATGCATGAGACAGAACATAGAAGACCATTTAAGATTGTGTTCACACTTAGTATGTTGTTGGAAGTTTTCGATTTAGGACCTACCTCTTACAATTTACAAATAGATTTCAAGCATCTTCTCCTTTGGGGTGGGGAGGGGGCCTATTTCAGGTTGAGCTCATCACTAACATCCCTCTACAAATGTAATCCTGGTCGAAAAGTAGAAAACTGCCAGCATTCCAGGAACCCACTTCATAATTTTTCCCAAACTTGGATCCTACTTGTCTCTCCAGAGGTGATCACTATTTTGACTTTTAACATGAGAGGAGTTTCGCTTGTTTTCAAACTTTCATAAATAAAAACATATAGTATGCTTATTTTCTCTGCTTTTGCTGAATGTTTGGTGTGGGGTATTCATTCATGTTCATTGTAGCTGTGGCAGTCGTTTTCAGACGTGGAGCCAGTGGGAAGAAGTATTTGAGCCAGTTCTCCTGGTGATACATTCTGCCTTTACAAGACACCTTTAGTTATGGGCTGGAAGAGTTAAGAATTCTTTTGGTATGATAATCACATGCAGTGGAACTTGTGTGTTCATAATTTACCCTAATTATTTTAATAAATTTTGTACTTACAAGATATTAAAAGTATAGAATGGGTTTTTTTTTATTCATTTAAAAATTTTGGAAGAGGTTTCTAACTTATAGAAAAGTTGCAAAGTAAAAAGAGCTCTCCTACCACTTCCCCAGACTGTGTGAGAGTAAGCTTGTGACTGAGTACCTTATAATCCCTGAATACTTCAGTCTGCTTCTGAGACATTGTTGTACATACCCACAGTACAACAACCAAAACAGATGCAATTTCACTACAGTCTGCTTCTCAGATCCTATTCACGATTGGTCAGTTGTCCCAGTAATGTCTTTCAGGGCAAAAGAATCCAGTTCAGAATCACGTGGCATTGTCTAGAGCAGATAGTCAGACTTTCCCGAGTTTGAGATCTTTGAAGATGAAGCAGGCCGGTTGTTGGTAGAATCTCCCTCAGTCTGGAGCTGTCTGGTGTTTCCTCATGATTAGATTCACGTTACTCATCTTGACAGGGCTATCACAGAAATGTGCTGTGCTGTTTTCATTTTATCCTATCAGATGGATTCCAGTGTATCCCATTATTGATGTTCATTTGAGCATTTGGTTAAGGTTCTGTTTTCTTTGTAATATGTATCTGGTGAGGAAGCCGATTTCAAACTTCAGGATATCTGTTTTAAGATAGGGTGCCTGGCCTGATCTCATGATCTTTTTAAAGACAGTGCTTTTTCTGGCTGATCACATAAAGAGATTTGAAGCACAATATATCTAGTCTGTAAAATGGGGTTAGTTAGTAGTAATGCCTATTCATGGGATCTTTTTGAGGATAGGAGGAGTTAATGAAATTGAGCTCAGGGGTCAGCACTGTGGCTCACTTGGTTAATCCTCCGCCTGCGGTACCATCATCCCATATGGGCACCGGTTCTAGTCCCAGTTGCTCCTCTTCCAGTCCAGCTCTCTGCTATGGCCTGGGAAAGCAGTGGAGGATGGCCCAAGTGCTTGGGTTCCTGCACCCACGTGGGAGACTCGGAAGAAGCACCTGGCTCCTAGCTTCGGATCTGCGTAGCTCGACCGTAGCGACCATTTGGGGAGTGAACCAATGGAAGGAAAACCTCTCCCTCTCTGTCTATCTCTCTCTCACTGTCTGTAACTCTACCTGTGAAAGAAAGAGAGAGAGAGAGAGAGAAAAGAAATTGAGCTTGAAGAATAAGATGTGACACAGAAAGACCTCATTGCTTAATGAAAATTCTTTTAAAATAGTGCTAATGCAGGTGTTCTTAGTACCAAGTGTTGATCCTCCAGTGTTTAAGAAATAGAATGTAGATATTCTAAAAGGCCAGAAAGTTCAAGGATTATGTCTAGCTTGCTTTGGATAGTGTTTACACTTCCTGCTGTGTATTATTTTTCTGTTGTTGCGTAAAGAATACCACAAATTTATTCTTTTAGGATAGCAAATTGTTAGCTCCAAGTTCCATAGGTCAGAAGTCCAGGCACTTTGCTGCTGGATTCTGTGCTCAAGGTATGACAAATCTGAAATTGAAGTCTTTGCTAGTGTAAATTCTCATCGTGAGGCTCTAGGGCCAAATCCACTGACAAGCTTATTTAGATTGTTGACAGAATTCAGTTCCTTTTGATTGTATGAATGAGGTCCCATGGCTTCACTGGCTGTCATCTGAGAGTCTCTCTGAAGCTTCAGAGAACAGATAGTCAGATTTTCCCTGCCTTTCAAATAAATAAATAAATAAAAGAGTGAAAGAGAGCACATTTGAATGTTAATAGCCAAAGTTGTAAGAGTATTGTATTTCAAAAGATATTTTGTTTATAAAATTCTACTTTTTATGTAGATTTATAAAAAGACAATTGTGTTTGGATAGTTAAATGTTCTTGTTATAATCACATAGTTTTGTTTAATAGTTTCTTGTTGAATCACATGGGGCAAATGCTAATTCTCCCGTCACTATAATTTATTAAAATAGCCTCTTAAATATCTTCATTTCCTTTTTTACTGCTATTCATAAATTATTAAATTTATATTTTAATGTTTTGACCAAAAAGAAAAGCAGTTACTTTTTTTTTAATTTGTTTAAAGCTTTTATTTATTGAATGCATTTTTAATAGGTACAACTTTAGGAATATAGTGGTTCTTTCCCCCATACCCACCCTTCTACCCTGACTCCCATCCCACTTTCTACTCCCTCTCCCATCTCCTTCATTATGGTTCATTTTTAGTTTAATTTTAAATTTTATATACAGAGGACCAACTCTATGTTAAGTACAGATTTCAACAGTTTGCACCCCCCCCACACACACAACATATAGAGTACAGTTTGAGAACAAGTTTTGCGGTTAATTCTCATAGTACAACTCATTCAGGACAGAGGTCCTACATGGGGAGTAAGTGCACAGTGACTTCTGTTGTTCCTTTAACAATTAACACTCTTATTTATGACGTCTGTGATCACCCAAGGCTCTTGCCATGGGCTGCCAAGGCTAGAAGCCTTTGGGGACCACAGATTCCATCAGTATTTGGACTCCACCATAAGCAAAGTGAAAGTTCTCCCCTCCCTTCAGAGAAAAGTACATCCTTCTTTGATGGCCCCTTCTTTCCACTGAGGTCTCTGAGATCCTTCGTGTAGGATATTGTTTGCCAGAGTCTTGGCTCTCCATGCCTGAAATGCTCTCACAGGCCTTTCAGCCAGACCAGGAAGCCTTAAGGGTTGATTCTGAGGTCAAAGTGTTATAGTGTTATTTATAGCAAATGTCATTCTAGGAGTCTGCTGTGTGGACTGCTTCCCATATTGGACATTCCCTCCTTTTTAATTCTGTCTATTATTATTACCAGGCACTTGGTATTATTTATATGATCACTTTTACACTTAAACCTAACTATATGTTGACTTTAACATTTAATATGATCACTTTAACAGTTAAGATGGCATTTTTACCACTGATTTTAATGGGTTTTGGAGCCCCATGACAAGTTTTTAGGCTGTACCCTTAGAAGTAAGTCTGTAGGACTGTATGCAGAACTATACAGCTTTACAGTTATAGACTTCCTCCTCCCTCTCTTATTCCTCCTCTTATTTTTTACTGGGATTTTTAAAAATTGACTTTATATACATATAATTAACTATGTTAAGTAAAGAATTCAACATATAGTATGAAGAAGAGAAAAGAAAAAGAAAGAAAACAACAAAAAAATACAAAATAAAAAGTAACGATAAAAAACTGTTCCTTGATAGGATGAGAGCTATTCAAGTCATTGTTTCTAAAAGTGTCAGTTTCACTTCTATAGCTTTCATTTTAGGAGTGCTATTAATTCTCACAGATCAGGGAGAATATATGGTATTTGTCTCTTTGGGATTGGGTTATTACACTACGTGTTAAGTTTTCCAGCTTGATCCATTTTGTTGCAAATGACCAGATTTCTTTTTTTTTTACTGCTGTGTAGTATTCCATAGTGTGCATATCCCATAATTTTTTTTATCAAGTCTTTGGTTGATGGGCATTTAGATTGATTCCATGTCTTAGCTATTGTGAATTGAGCTGCAATAAAGATGGAGGTGCAGATAGCTCTTTTGTTTACTGATTTCATTTCCCTCGGGTAAATTCCCAGGAATGGGATGGCTGGGTCATATGGTAGGTCTATATTCAGATTTTTTGAGGTATCTCCAAACTGTCTTCCATAGTGGCTTTACCAGTTTACATTCCCACCAACAGTGGGTTAGGGTGCCCTTTTCCCCACATCCCCTCCAGCATCTGTTGTTGGTAGATTTCTGTATGAGGACCATTCTAACTGGGTGAGATGAAACCTGATTGTGGTTTTGATTTGCATTTCCCTGATGGCTAGAGATCCTGAACATTTTTTCATGTGTTTGTTGGCCATTTGGTTTCCTCTTTTGAAAAATTTCTGTTTAAATCTTTGCCCATCTCTTAACTGGGTTGTTTTGTTATTGTGGAGTTTCTTGATCTTTTCATAGATTCTGGTTATTAATCCTTTATCAGTTGCATAGTTTGCAAATAATTTCTCCCATTCTGTTGGTTGCCTCTTCACTTTGCTGACTGTTCTTTTGCTATACAGAAGTTTCTTAATTTGAGGTGATCCCATTTGTTCATTTTGGCTTTGACTGCCTGTGCCTCTGGGGTCTTTTTCAGGAATTCTTTGCCAGTGCAGGGTTTCCCCAATGTTCTCAATTAATTTGGTGGTGTCGGGGTATAGATTCAGATCTTTAATCCATGTTGAATGGATTTTTGTGTAAGGTGTAAGTTAGGGGTCCTGCTTCATACTCCTGCATGTGGAAATCCAGTCTTCCCAGCACCATTTGTTGAAGAGACTGTCATTGCTACAGGGATTGGTTTTAGCTCCTTGGTCAAATATAAGTTGGTTGTGGATGCTTGGATTGATTTCTGGTGTTTCTATTCTGTTCCATTGGTCTATCCATCTGTTTCTGTACCAGTACCATGCTGTTTTGATTATAACTGCCCTGTAGTATGTCCTGAAATCTGGTATTGTGATGCCTCCGGCTTTGTTTTTGTTGTATAAGATAAAGCAGTTGTTTTTATTCAGCCAAGTTGTTTACCAGTTATGACACCTTGATGTTATTAAATGGTACTCAGATTTGAAAATCTGAAACTAAGGTAAGAAATGTGGCTGAAGTGCAAATTTCTTCTCCTTCCTCCCTCTTGCCACTTAATACAGCAGATTTTGGAAGATATTTCTACCTTAAATAGTTTGTTTTGATGAAGAATAGGGAAGATTTGATTCTTAGTCCTCAGTCATCCTCTTAATGTAAGTTTATAATTATACATTTGTATACATCTATATTTCTAGATCTCATTGAATTATTTCAGTATGAAATATTTGAAGGGGCCGGCACTGTGGCGTAGCGGGTAAGGCCGCCACCTGCAGTGCCGACATTCCATGTGGGTGCCGGTGCGAGACTCAGCTGCTCCGCTTCCAGTCGAGCTCCCTGCTATGGCCTGGGAAAGCAGTGGAAGGTGGCTCAAGTCCTTGGGCCCCTACACTCACATGGGAGACCCAGAAGAAGCTCTTGGCTCCCAGCTTCGGATCTGCGCAGCTCCGGCTGTTGCAGCCAGCTGGGGAGTCAACCAGCGGATGGAAGACCTCTCTCTCTCTCTCTCTCTGCCTTTCCTTCTCTCTCTCTAGATCTAACTTTCAAATAAATAAAATAAATCTTTTAAAAAAAAGAAAAGAAATATTTGAAGCCAAGTTAATAACAATAAACAGCAACAGTGTGTTTTTAACCATTTTGTTTAAGCTCCCTTTCAGTGAAATTCCAGTGTTGAGTCATGGAAAACTGCTAAATCAATTATGACTAGTTGATGTCTCTCAAACTTTAGAATACATCAAAATTCTAGAGATTGTTAAGATGCAGATTCCTCAGTCTCATCCTCAGAGATTCTGATTATGTGTGCCAGGGATGGTGCCGAAAACTTTCATTTATAACACTCTCAAGTAATGCTGCCGACCCAGACACTGAACTAGATCATGTTTAATTTATGAGAATGTTCAGGCCTTAGAAAATAATACTTAATTTTTTCGACTTAAATTTTATGACTGACTGTTTTATGGTCCCATGTGACATAATTATGACCTGCAAATTATACTTTGTTATTTTGTATCCAGAGGCTAATATTCTCTTCAGGGTTTAGTCAGTTCAAAAATATTTGGTATGTTGTTGTACTGTCTGAATATTGACACTTTTGCTGTTTTATTATAGCAATAAGCTGTAATCACATTTTACTTAATCAGTTGGATTTTAATAAATTCACTGAATTTTAATAAAAATTTTACTTGAAAAATAAATTCCTAATTGTGGTAATTCAGTGCTTTTTCTCTTGATTTCTAGGCAGTGCTTAATTTTCCTAAATATTGTGAGCCTGTGGTCAAAGGAGAAGGTAACTCTATAATTTTATTTATTAATATTTCTACTGAGAAATATTTTTAAAAGTTCTAAATTATTAACATTTTCTCCCTTTGGGGTAGCAAGTGAACGTGATACTCGCAAACTGTGGAGAAACATTGAACCTCATTTGAAGAAAGCCATGCAGACTGTTTATCTCAGGGAAATATCAAGGTAATTCATTGGGAACTATGTCTGTATCTTTAATTGTGAGACCTGCTCTACTAGTAAAGTGTGTGCGTTTTCCTTTACCTTCTTTACATTGACGGGGATGTTATAGAACTTATTTTTTACTTTGGTAAGGACAAACAATTTTTAACCAATATGTTAGATAATTTATGATAAGGTTTCTTTCTCTTTTTTTTAAATCTGGAAAGCTATAGGAAAACCAGTGCTAGCTTTGTTTTTAATATCTATGTTAGGGCCGGCGCCGCGGCTCAATAGGCTAATCCTCCACCTAGCGGCGCCAGCACACCGGGATCTAGTCCCGGTCGGGGGCCGGATTCTGTCCCGGTTGCCCCTCTTCCAGGCCAGCTCTCTGCTATGGCCCGGGAGTGCAGTGGAGGATGGCCCAAGTGCTTGGGCCCTGCACCCTATGGGAGACCAGGGGAAGCACCTGACTCCTGCCTTCAGATCAGCGCGGTGCGCCGGCCACAGCGCGCCGCCCGCAGCAGCCATTGGAGGGTGAACCAATGGCAAAGGAAGACCTCTCTCTCTGTTTCTCTCTCTCTCTCACTGTCTACTCTGCCTGTAAAAAAAAAAAAAAAAAACTATGTTAGATACTTCAATGAAATAGTGAAATATAAATCATCATAAACCTGTATTTATCTGTTATTAGAATTTCATAGTAATGAAACTGCCTAGGCACAAAGTGACAGAGAATGTTGCATGAAGAACGTGGTTTTGATTTTCAGCTCAACCCTTTTCTGTCTTACATGATCTTAGCAAGTCACCTACAACCTGTAGGCCACAATGTCTTCCCCACCTTTCTCTTTGCTTTTCAAATAAATAATAAATACATTTAAAAAAATACGCTGGACCAAACTTAGTATGGCAGTCTTGGGAACGCACTGTGTCAGGAGAACACGAGGTCTTGCTTTAGAAGTGTGTAGTTTCCTTTAGAGGTTTGGTGGTAAAGGAAAAGATAGGAATGGCTGGAAATAGATTCCTTTCACCTCCCGGATGAACAGAATATAACAAAATCAGAAAGTATGGCAACTCTTCCCTTTCGAAATGGCAGTGTGTATTAAAGAAACTGTTCTTACAGGATAGAACATTTTAGAATAAGAAATCTGAGCCATCCCTAGACTGCACCCCTGCATTCAGACTCACCTGTTACTGATGATCCATACAAACATCAGGCATTTCAAAATGAAGACAAAATAGCACACTCCTTTAAAGGTATTTTAAGAAACATAATGAGAATAAAGACAGTTTCACTGATGAAAATTCCTCTATTCCCACACAAAGCAGAGGAAGACTGCAACACAACACCTGGACCTAATGGAACTTTTTTATAAAAACATTTTCAAATATGAATACAGTCATTTACTTTAGAATGTCTGTAGCCCAGAATCCATGGACAAAGGATAGATGGACGGGAAACAGAAGTTGATGAAGCTTACCAACGGAGTTCAAACAAATGCAGTCCTCTCGAGAATGAAGTGAGATGACACGGGGGAGGGTAGATTCAAGCCATACATCCATAAGGAACATTGAGGAGAGGAATGAAAACAACCAGGAGAAGCAAACTAAATGAAAAGGTAAAACTAATCAGAGTGTGATAAATAGGAGAAACCAAGAAAATTGAACAATACATCATCAGCATTACTGAAGATAGAAAACAGTGTCTTGGAATTAAAATCTAAAACTATAATCCAAGAAAACTTTCCAAAGTGTAAGAAGGCTGACTGAACACAGGAAAAGGAGTTCCTTTTCCCTCTTATTCCTGGATGGTTCATTCTTCAACTATGCTCGTACACTAGTCTCTCAGGGCAGCACATTCGTTGCCTTACAGTCTGGGTCTCAGGCATCTACATGGGTGCACAGGGAAGCGTGCCTTCTCTTGGCTCCTGGGGGGAATGTTTCTCTGCCTTCACCAATGTCTGGAGGCTACCTGCGCTCCTTGGCTTGTGGCTCCTTCCTCCGTGTTCAGATTCAACAGTGGAGCATTTTCTTTTCTCTCAGACCACTTCTCTTCATCCCTGTTAGCACATTGGGACTACCTGGAGAACCCAGTAGAACCGATCTCCTGATCCTTGACTCAGCCACTTCTGCTAAGTTCCTCTTACCTCGTGAGGTAGCATTCACAGATTTTAGGGATTTGGACATTGATGTTGGGGAACGGGAGGTATTATTCAGCCTACAAAAAAGATGTCCTATTGAACGTTTCAGACTTTAAAAGAAAAGAAAAAGAAATGTTTGAACCTCCAGGCAAAAAGATAAGTCACAGAGAGAGAGAGAGAGAGAGATCTTCTATCCACTTGCTCACTCCCCAAGTGGTTACTGGGGCTGGGGCTTGGCCAGGTTGAAGCCAGGAGCCAGGAACTTCATCCAAGTCTCCCATGTGGATGCAGGGGCCCCAGGCACTTGGGCTATTATACCACTGCTTTCCCAGGCACATTAGCAGGGAGCTGGATCAGAAGTGTAGCAGCCAAAACTCTAAGTGGTGCCCATATGGGATGGCAGCGTCACAGGTGGCAGCTTAACTGGCTGTGCCACAACGCTGGCCCTGATTTTGTAGCTTTTATAAGCAGTTTGGACAAATTATAAGAAAGAATCCAGCCACGTCTCCTGTTCATCTTACAATTCTAACCCATTTACCTTTTCTTAATGCAACTGTTTCCCTGAAACATCTCTGGAAGTTGATAATTCATTTGTTTATTTAGATGTGATGGCATGTTTAATCAGAGATCTCAGTGGAAACACTGCCTCCACTACCTGCAACCTCAGTCAGCTTAGTTAGCCCCTGATCCTCAGCTTTTTTATTTGGGGAGGAAAAAAATTTTTTTTCTCATAAATTTATGAAGATTAAATGGGTGTTTAACTGGCTTCAAAATAGACATTTAGTAAATGTCAGTTTCCCTCCTTGTTAATGATAGGCAATTTTTCCTTTGAGAGTTTTTATGTTATTTTTTTTAAAAATTTTGTTTATTTGTGAAGCAGAGAGAGACAGAATGCTCCTATCCACTGGTTCCCTACCGAAGTGCCTGCAGTGGTCTAGCTTAGGCCAGACAGAAGTTATGGGCCAGGAACTCAATCCAGGTTTCCCACATAGGTGGTAGAGACCCAAGTGATTGAGTCATCAGCACTGTCTCGCAGGGTCTGCATTAGCAGGAAGCTGGAATTGGGAACAAAACCAAGATTTAAGCTCAGGCATTTTGAAACAGGATGTGGGCATCCCAACCAGCAGCTTAACCTCTAGGCCAAATGCCCACTCCTGAGAGTTCTAAGAACTTTAATAACAACGTAAATGCACAATTGTTGTATAAGGAAGTCTTACCAGTTTCAACTATCTACATGTCAGGGTTTTTTTTTTTTTTTTTTTTTTTTTTAAGATTTTATTTATCTATCTGAGAGGCAGAGTTACAGACACACAGAGAGAGGTCTTCCATCCGCTGGTGTACTCCCCAAATGGCCACAGCAGCTGAAGCTGGGCCAAACCGAAGCCAGGAGCCTCGAGCCTCTTCCAGGTCCCGCAGTTGGGCTACTTTCCACTGCTTTCCCAGGTGAACAACAGGGAGCTGGATTGGAAGAGGAGCAGCCAGGACACGAACCTTCAACTATATGGGATGTCAGTACTGGCCCCTACATGTAACTCATAAAAATGTATTTGCATTTATAAGAAGTAATAAGTGTGCAAATGTTTTATAATCTTGTGAAGCACTCTTCAGTTACAAGGTGGAGGAAATGATCTGTTTTGGAAGTCAGCTTGTTGTACAGATCTGCTTTCCACCTGAGTTACTAATCGCCCATTAAAATTCCCATGTGGGTGCAGGTGTTTGGCCTAGTTGTTAAGATGCTGGTTAAGAAGCCTCATCGGAGTGCCTGGGTTTGATTCCCAGCTCTGTCTCCTGATGTTGCAGGCCCTGGGAGGTAGCAGGTGATGGCTCAAGTTATTGGGTTCCTGTCACCAGTATGGAAAACTGGGATTGCATTCCAGGCTGACCCTGGCCTTTGAGGACACCAAGGGCATGAATCAGCAGATGAGAACTCTGTGTCTTACTGTCTTTTTCCCTCTTGTTTCCCCTTTCTCCTCTTTTCTCTATTTCTCAAATAAAAAAATTTTTCAAAAAATATACCATATAGCTGTATTCCCAGAATTTTAAGCTAAGCCTGCAAATTTAGAAAAAAAAAGTGCAATATAATTTGAATTATTATCCCAATCTGGCATTATTTTTAAATTAGCATTTTAAGAACCTTGTGAGAAAGCTTTAGTGTTGATTGGAGTCCTTATAGATCATTATATCTGCCATTTTCTGATGAGAAGATTATCAGTTTATTCAGAATCATGCTGCTAAAATCTAACTTCCTATTGCAGTCTTTTTTCATTATCCCATAATGTGTTCATGAATTTAGTTCATTAGATCATAATCACCTTACATTCTAATAGTGGTTTGGCTTTCTGATAATTTTAATTGCAAGTAAAGCTAAGGTGGAGCAATTAAAACAGCGTGAACTCTGCAGCCATCCTCCAAGGATGCAGCTCTTATTACTCCTCTGTTGTCTGTCCCTGGCAACTTAACCTTTGGGCCTCTTTTTTTTTTTTTTTTTTTTTTTTTTTTTTTGTGGTTAAGATTTATTTATTTATTTATCTATCTATCTATCTAATCTATCTATTTGAAAGTCAGAGCACTGGAGAAAGAGAGAAAGACAGAAAAAGAGAGATCTTCCATCTGCTGGTTTACTCCCCAAATGGCTACAACAGCAAGGTGCAAGCCAGCCTGAAGCCTAGAGCCAGGAACTCCGGCCAGGTTTCCCACGTGGGTGACAGTGGCCAGAGCACATGGGCAATCTTCTGCTGCTTCCCCAGTCACATTAGCTGAATTGGAAGTGGAATAGCCAGGACTCTGAACCAGAACTCCCAATATAGGATGCCAGCGTCACAAGAAGTGGTTTAACCTGTTATACCACAGTGCTGGTCCCTGGACCTCGATTTTCTGAGATAATCACATATACTTCAAGGGATTGTTAACAGAATTTAAAAACTGCTGTCCAGGTGTGAAGCCTGCATCCCATATTGAAGTGCCTGGTTCAAGTTCTGGATCCTCTGCTTTCAACCCAGCTTCTTGTTTCTACACCCACTGGAAAGTAAGGGTCAGATACTTGGGTCCCTGTCACCCACTTGGAAGACCTTGATTAATTTTGGGCTCATAGGTTCAGCCTGACCTCGCTGTGGCTGCTACAGGCATTAGGGCAGTGAACCAGCAGATAAGAGATCTCTCTCCATCTATCTGTCTTTCAAATAAAATGAAAACAAATAAATCAAAATTGTAAAAAAAAGTATATGACAATTGTATCCAACTTTATCTAAATTTTATCCAATTTTTATCTAAATTGTATCCAATTTTATCTAAAATACTGAGTTTTAACTAATGGCAGTTTATATTATTTGTTGTTACTTTTTGATAGCTTTACAATATGACCAAAGAGATTACTAAAAAACTTACACCTGAATATTGCATTATATGTATATTTTGTCCTAATATGCACTAAATGATTTCATACAGATACAGTGTATATATTATCTTTTGTCCATAAACAAAATTTTTAGTTTTTCTGGGCTCTAAGCACAGCATATTGATTTCATGTATTTTCAATCCATTTTGCTTTATTTCCTTTCAGTTCCCAGTGGGAGAAACTACAGAACGATGACACAGATCCAGGACAGCTAAAAGGTATCAAAGGAAGTATTGAGATAGTTACCAGAACCACTTCTTTAATTAATTGTCAGCATGCTACATCAATACTAATATCATTCCATCAGTAAAAAAAGAGATGAAAGAGAATTTTCTTTTCAAGTAATAATAATATATTGATTGAGTTTCCTTCAGGTGAAGCTCCATTTTAATAGGAAGAAATAAAATTCAAATACCAGTTGTCCATTTCCTAAATATTGGACTATATCATGTGAAAGTCTAGTAGTTGATATTTTTTTAAATATTTTTGTTGAAGCAGTTCAGTTATATGGCATAATTTTATCTCAGTATGTATGTGTTTCATGAGTGTTCAGGAATAAAATGCAAGTTTATGTTAACTCAGTTTAAGGGATTCATCTCAGCAGTTGTTTTTTAAAAGCTTTGGAAACTATTTGCATTTATCCCAAACTAATTGCTTTTATTTTTAAAAAAAAATAAGCTAATTCCTTAAATGTTAGTAGTTTTTTAAAAAGGTCAGTGGTTGATGGTTGAGGAAAATGTTATGAAGTTGTGACATCATGATTTTCTTTTGTCTGCATGATATATGAATCATACATACTGAATGTTCCCAATGTATTACAGATGATTTCCAGTTTGTTGGCAAGGGAAAGAGAGATTCTAGAGTATAAAAAAACCTGCAATAATTGATCTGCATTACTTCCTGTGTGACCTTGAACCTCATTCACTTTATCTATAGAATGGGAAACATCCAAAGTGGTGCTTCAGTAAAACACTTAGGAGACAGTGTCTGACATATGCTCAGCAAATAGCAGATTCCTTCTCTCCGTTAAAAATCAGGGTTATTCGATTAACTCCATTGTTTGATTTATCCACTCATTTATTATTCCCTACATGCAAAGCATCACATGCATATACCAAAAATGCAAAAAAACAATTTCTTCTCTAATAGTATAGCTTAGTAGGGAATAGAATTTATGTATAATTAACTGTTTACATAAGGCACAATGTTATGTTGATTATACATGAAATACACCCAATAAGAATTCATAGAAGAAATCATTTCTTTCTGTTTTTGTGTGGTGGGGAGTATCAGGGAATGTCTGATGGAGAGCACAGCCTAGACAGGAAGATGAATAGGATTTAGACTTGAGAATGGGAGGAACCAAGCACAAATAACAGAATGAGCACACTGTGGCTTTTGTAGTAAAGTTCATCACCACCACCACAGTCATCATCATGGCACATGAAGCTCAGGCAGTAGGTCCTTTTGTCCAGAAGAAACTATATGAAAGTCAAAAGATACGTGAGAAGGGACACTGGAAACCCAATGGTAGCCTAATCAATTTCTTCGTGAACGTATTTTGTTGTGTAGGTCTCTCTGCATATACTCATGTGGAACTTCCATATTACTCCAAGTTTATTCTGATTGCTGCGTACCTTGCTTCATACAACCCAGCAAGAACTGACAAGAGGTTCTTCCTTAAGGTAATAGCATCATACTTTTTTCACATTATTTTTGATGATCTCAGGAATGTTTTGAAATTTCTCAACATCTATAAGTTTGTACGGGGCTAATGTTAGACTGAGAAATAGCTAAATATGTTTAGGACTCATTCTCTGTAGGCTTTCCAGTAGGATCACAACCTGAAATTTGTAAGAACATAGATAGCTTTATAAAAGCAAAGAAATTAGGTATTCCTTAAGTAATAATTCTAGATTTTAAAATTACATAAATGGGAGTTTTTAAGAGTGAGAACTTTTTCATTGTTTTAAAGCTCTTATTATATTGTTAGTACCCAGTACCAGTACACTGAGAAGTCTCTTATTCATGTGCCCAAGTTGGAGAAACACCACCTTAGAATTGTTTTGCTTACTACTCACTCACTATATTATGCACATTGATGGAGCACGTGTCAGAAGGCCCTGACCCCAGGGATTGGGCCTTTATTTTTTTATTTTTTTATTTTTTGACAGGCAGAGTGGACAGTGAGAGAGAGAGACAGAGAGAAAGGTCTTCCTTTGCTGTTGGTTCACCCTCCAATGGCCGCCGCGGCTGGCGCACCGCGCTGATCCAATGGCAGGAGCCAGGTACTTCTCCTGGTCTCCCATGGGGTGCAGGGCCCAAGCACTTGGGCCATCCTCCACTGTACTCCCGGGCCACAGCAGAGAGCTGGCCTGGAAGAGGGGCAACCAGGACAGAATCCGGCGCCCCAACCAGGACTAGAACCCGGTGTGCTGGCGCCACAAGGTGGAGGATTAGCCTAGCGAGCCGAGGAGCCGGCCGGGTTGGGCCTTTTTAAGGAGGGCTAGAGGTGGGGCTGGGGGTAGGGGGTGGCAGGCAGAGGGGAATTCCTGGAAATGGGCGGGGCCTTGGGAACCTGTAGAGGAATGCAGGATGGGGTATGAAGGCAGATAGGGTGTGAAACCCAATTGAGATTCATGGGTAAGGAATACATTCCAGTGTTTATCTCTTTTAGGCAATGAGAGAGAATGGCTGAGCCTTATGTCTGTATTCCATCAGTCAGAACATTGTAATCTCCTATAGTCTTTGTATATATTCCATCTTTCTGGAAAATGCCTTTCCTACTGCTTATGCTACAGATTTCAGTGCAAATGTTGTTGTTCCAGAGCAGTCCTCCCTGAATAAGCTGTCTTAAGTGGGTCCTCTCTACTGTTTGCTGGTTCACAGGAAATTTGCTTTCCTGTTTGGGTTTAACATAATTTATAATACATTTTCATTTTTTTGTTGCCTCCCTGATTACTGTTTAGATTCATGAGAATCCAGTACTGGATTATTTGAATCCTAAATGCCTAACTAGATACTCTCAGTCAGGGAGGGATATTATGTGAATTGCCAACCTCCTTTAACAGATGGACAAAAACTCCCTTACTTTTGGAAGTTCTGCTGTATGCCAGTAAATATACTAAATTAATATAATCAGTTCTTTTGGAAAATATTATGTTGTCTTATAACCTTTGTTTACATGTAAAAATAATCTTACGTCCAGTGCAAATCTAAGTCAGAAGTCTAAAATACGTTGAAATCTAATATATGTATTTTCATGATGACAAGAACAAAATTAAAAAGCCTAAGACATATAAATTAGCATTATCTTGCCATCTATTAAGCAGATTGTGTTTCCTGGTCTGTGGAGTACTGTCTTTTCAGCCTAAAAGTTATTTTATTTAATTGCAGCATCATGGGAAAATCAAGAAAACCAACTTTCTAAAGAAACATGAAAAGGTATTTAAATTTTAATTTCTCTAATGGGAGAAATTTGTGAATTCAGGGTACTGTAGGAATTGTTTAAATATATAATTGCAATAGTCATTTGCATTTAAGAACTTACTTGTGTTGATTTGGTACCAATAACAGCATTTTGTTTTGTTGAATACAATGATTGAAGGCACATTCATGTGAGCTGGTACTGGTGATAGAACTGGGTTGACAGCCATATCAGTGACTTGATGAAAAGGATCACCCTGAATTGTTTAAACACAGCAGATTAAATATAAGTTTTTTCCTCTTTTCTCCTTTCCCACAAGAAATGACATTGAAGAAAAAAAGGTAGACTTCATAAGGACTGAGCAGATGAGAGACACCGCCCCACCCCACCCCACCCCCAATTTGAAATTGCTTAGTAGAGAGATTTGGGTGACTGACAAATCCTGAGCTCTAACCAAAACCTCTAACCAAATCCTGAGCTCTAACCAAAACCAAAGCTCTAAGCCAACCTGTTTCATCCTGAAGAATCTTGAAAAGCTTAGAAATTTGAAGCACTAAAAGCTTTTTAAGGTAGGGATGAGGCAGAGTTGAAGTTGATGAAAGAAGTATTTAGACTGTTCAGCATGCTTGTTCTGCTGTGTACATTGAAACCGTTGCTGCTTCTCTTGGCAGAAAATAGAGAATTTTGATCCCAGATTATGGGTTATTTATTTTTTTTTTTTGAAAGGCAGAGTTAGAGAGAGACCGAGAGAAAGGTCTTCCTTCCGTTGGTTCACCCCCCAAATGGCCACTACAGCCAGCGCTGCACCGATCCGAAGCCAGGAGCAAGGTGCTTCTCCTGGTCTCCCATGGGGTGCAGGGCTCAAGCACTTGGGCCATCCTCCACTGCCTTCCCGGGCCACAGCAGAGAGCTGGCCTGGAAGAGGAGCAACCAGGGACAGAATCCGGCACCCCCAACCGGGACTAGAACCCAGGCTGCCAGCGCCACAGGTGGAGGATTAGCCTAGTAAGCCACGGCGCCGGCCTACTCGTATTCTTTTTTTTTTTTTTTTTAAGACTTATTTATTTATTTATTTGAAAGTCAGAGTTATACAGAGAGGAGAGGCAGAGAGAGCGAGAAAGAAAGAGATTCTCCAGCTGATGGTCCACTCCTCAATTGGCCAAAACAGCCAGAGCTGAGCCAGGAGCTTCCTCTAGTTCTCCCACACTGGTGCAGGGACCCAAGGACCTGGGCCATCCTCCACTGCTTTCCCAGGCCACAGCAGAGAGCTGGACCGGAAGTGGAGAAGATGGTCTCGAACTGGCGCCCATATGGGATGCTGGTGCCTCAGGGCAGCACGTTAACCGGCTGCACCACAGTGCTGGCCCCTACTCTTATTCTTAAAAGCAGCTCTTTTTTTTTTTTTTTTCAGGATTTACTTCTTAAGACTTTTTGAAGGTATTATTTAATGTTTTCTAGCTTCCACTGTTAATTCTGAAAAAAAAAATCTATTGCTGGGTGTTGATGTTTAGCCTCATGGTTAAGATAGTTGTATCCTACCTCTGAGTACCTGGGTTCAATATTCGTTTCAGCTCCTGATTCTAGTTTCTTTCTAGTCCAAATCTGGAAGACAGCAGTGATGTCCTAAGTAGTTGGGTCCCTTCCACCAAGTTGAGTGACCTGAATTTATCTCCTGGCTTTGGCCCCAGGCCTATCCCTTGGCTGTTGTGGATAATTGAAGAATTAACAGCAGTTGTGAGGTGTCTATCTCTCTGAATATCTGTCTTTGTCTCCCTTCCTCTCTCCCTCCCTCTTCTTTGTCTCCCTGCCACTCAAATGAGTATTGTTTTTTAAATCTGCTGGTCTAATTTCTTTTTTGGCATCAGTATATTCTCTAGCTCCCTTTAAATTCTACCTTTCCTTTGGTATTTTTGCAGTTTCACTGTGATGTATCTGGATCGGATTTCTTTGTATTTAGGATTAGTTTTTCTCTCTGAATTTGAATAATAATACTTTTATTCAGTTCTGATCTGTTCTTGGTCATCAACTTAGCATTCTTTCTACCTCTTGCTAAGACACTGAGAACATGTTCTATCTTCTCTCCATCTCCCTTTCTCTTGAGTCTTCCACATTCTTTCCCTTTGCTTCTCTGTGCACTGTATTCTGGCTAATTTCAGTTCTGCCTTCTGATTGGCTCTTCAGCTTTCTCTGTGCTACTGTTTATATCAACTTCATAGGTTCAGAATCTTTTTTTTTTTTTTTTTTTACGATTTATTTATCTGAGAGTGAGGGAAATGGCCATCTACCAGGGCTGAGCTAAGGACTTCATCCAGGTCTCCCATGTGGGTGTAGGGGTCCAAGGACTTGGGCCATCTTCTGCTGCTTTCCCAGGCCATAGCAGAGAGCTGGATTGGAAGAGGAGCAGCCAGGACTAGAACTGGTGCCCCTAGGGGATGCTGGAGCTGCAGGCAACGGTTTATTCTGTTGTGCTACAGCACCAGCCCCGTAATTTCAGAATCTTATTTGTAATTTTTAGAAGTTCTAATTTATTTCAAGTCTGTTTGGGTACATGTTTTTTTTTTCCTAGTCATATCTTTCTTTAATATAAAACATAACTATGTTATACTGTGTATTGTATGGCCCAGTATCAGAAGTCCTTCTTGACCCTGTTCTCTAGTGTCTGTTGTTACTGACCCATGCTCATGATGCCTGTGTCCTGAACATTTTGCAACTATTAATTGTTGGCTGAGCTTAATCTTTGGAATTGTTGAGCCCTAAGATGTTCTCTTCTACATCTTACTTCTGTGAAACATGCTTATGAACACGAATAAACTGGTCTAACTTGAAATTCAGTTCTCAGCCTACGAGTTTTCAGACTTCAAGCATACTGTGAATTGCCCCCATATCGCTATTAGCTCTAGCTTCTAGTTAATTCTGAAGCAAGGCTTATTTCTGCCCCTTCTCTTCACACAGTGCTACCACTTGGCAGGGAAGTGTCCTTACCAAATCCATTCATCCATAAAAAGGTGAATCTAGCATGCTGTCTAAGATATTTATCTGGAAAAAGAAAACATACAAACATGCATCATGATGATAATTGTGAAGTTGTTTAGCACATAAGAGGCAAACACTGGTAAGCTCTGTGTGTGATCTCATTTAATTTTCCCAGTGACTTGATGCATATGGTTACTATCTCAGGTTTTTCATCATATTCCAGATGAGGAAAACAGAGGATTAGAGAGAAATTAAGTAACTTACCCAAGGTCACATAGTTTTTATGTGATGGAACCAGGATCTGATTCCAGTCCTTTTTGACTCCACTATCTTTAAATTCATACAACAGATAAATGATTCGTGTCTAAGAGTTTTTAGAGACTCATACAAACCAATAAGAAAAAGCCTAAAATTTCAATCGAAAAAAATGATTCAGAAAGGAATATGAATGCCTAATAAACTTGACACAGTTATCAGTGTCATTCACTAAAGCTTCAAAATGCAAATTGTAACAGAAGTGAATATTTCACACTCATGGTTTGACAAAACTAAAGTGATGACTCCAAATGTTGGTAATAAATAGTGTAGAAGAATAAAAGCCTGCTTATACTATAGGTTTATAGTACCTAATAAATTTAGCCTAAGAATATCCTTTTTTTCTTAATTTTGATTTCTTTTTTATTTGTTAGAGGGAGAATGAGAGAGCGATATCTTCCATCCATTGGGTCACTCCCCAAATGCCTGCGACTGCCAATATGAAGCCAGGAGCTTGAAACTCAGAATCTGAGTCTCCCACATGAGTCCAAGGCCCCAAGTATTTGAGCTGTCACCTGTTACCTCCCAGGGTATGCATTAGCAGGAAGCTGGAATCAGAATCAGAAGCAAGACTTAAACCAAGGCACTCTGATTTGTGATATGAGCTTCCCAGGTGGGGTATTAATTACTGTGCCATTAACAGGCCCCTAACCTTTGAATGTTCTTTGTACTGGTTCAGATAGGCTGGCCTATACTGTAGTAAAAAAAGAAACCCCATTACCCCCAGTAGCTAAACACAACAAAAGTTTATATATTGTTCACAGTGTAGTTGAACATGAGTTGGGTTGGCTCTCTTTTCATTTACAGTGATATTGAGTAAATCTCCAAAGTTGCTTCCAAAGGGAAGAGAGGACAAAAGAATCCAGTGATTTGAAAGGCCAGGTTGGAAGTAGTTAACTCACTTCTACTCAATAATGTCTGAAACCCAGTTACACGACCTACATCTGACTATAGGAGAGATTAAGAAATAGTCTTCCTGGGGTCCGCGCTGTGGCGCAGCAGGTTAAAACCCTGGCCTGGCCTGAAGCGCCGTCATCCCATATGGGTACCATTTCTAGTCCTGGCTGCTCCTCTTCTGATCCGGCTCTCTGCGATGGCCTAGGAAAGCAGTATGGGCCCCTGCACCCACGTGGGAGATACGGAAAAAGCTCCTGGCTCCTGTCTTTGGATCAGCGCAGCTCTGGCGGTTGCAGCCATCTGGAGAGTGAACCAGCAGATGGAAGACCATTCTCTCTGTCTGTACCTCTCTCTGTAACTCTGTCTTTCAAATAAATAAAATAAATCTTAAAAAAAAAAAAAAAAAACTAGTCTTTCTATGTCCCCAAGAAGAAGTAATGTTGGCTAACACATAGCGTTGTCTTTGCCCAGTACTTTAACCCAGCAGTTTCACTTAGAGGAACTGATACTTGTACACAAGGAAAAATGTGAAAGATTGCCAGTTGCAATAATATTTGAAATGGTGATGAGTCATTAAAAGTAGATGTTGATAGAGTCATAAAATGGAACTTGTTAGAGTAATTTACTAATAGCCTAGAGGGGCTGGCTTTGTGGTGCAGCAAATTAAGCTGCTGCCTACAATGCCTGTGTGCCCTATCAGAGCACAGGTTCAGTGCCCCTGCTCTGCTTTCCATCTGGCTTCCTGCTAATGTGCCTGGGACAGCAGCAGAAGGTGGCCCAGATGCTTGGATCCCTGCCAGCCACATGGGAGACCTGCATGGAGACCTGTGGCAGTTGCGGCCATTTGAGTAGTGAACCAGTGAACCAGTGGATGGAAGATCTCTTTCTGTCTCTCTTCTTTCAAATAAATGAAATAAATCTTTAAAAAATAATTAAAAAAGACTAGAGCTTTGTGTATCTATATGGATAAATCTCAAAAACATCATGTTGAGGGGAAAAAACAGCCATGTTCAAAATGATGTGATCAATATATATGATGTTAGTCATGCAAACTGCTTTTTATTATTTGTGAATACATATGTGGCAGGATAGTATAAATACTGCTCCAGCAGTGGTAAGAATATCGAACTCCAGGTGGTGGTTTCTTCTACAGAAAGAAAGGGAGATTGGTATGAGAGAGGGCTCGCGGGGGCTACAGCTCATCTGTAATGTGATCTAGATTTTTATTTCTTTGCATATACTGCATGTTATTAGTATTTGATAAAATTGGGTGCTAAGTAGACAGGTATTATATTAACTTTTGTGCTTTTCTATTTGAAGTACTTATTGAGAAAAGCATATAAAACTTATGATATGGGAAATGATTTCTAAGCTCTTTTTTGTTATCAGTAGCTGAGATAAATATTCCATTTGATAATTCTGTGTAGGTCTGTTTCTTCATAGCCCTTCTTGTAAATAATTATTTGCATGTATGTGAATATATAATTTCCCATTTTACTTGCCTTTGTGGATGTAGAGTACTTAAATTTTTACCTTGCTTCTAGAATTATCTGCTAATAAAATAGAACTTGGGCACTGCAGTCTTTGGGTGACAAGTAATTGTAACATGTGAGTTTATATACAGTCTTTATAAGTTGTGTTTTATAATCTTTAACATTTTATATGAATCTTACATTATTTCAGGCCGATAGCTTATCTTCAAATTATAAAGTATCATCTTAATGTTCTAAGCTAAGCTAGTATTCACTATAGTTGAATCTTTTTGGAACTATTAGTATTGAAGAAATATATTTTCCAAGCAGTTGTAGAAAGAGGAATGATGAGAAATAAGTAGCTAGTTCTGTTGTGGGAGTTGGGAGCCTGGTTTGGTTGACAGATGAATTGGCTAAGTAACTTCACTTTTGGTTACAAGAGCAAAATAGGGGTGTTGTTCAGGCCTCTTTAATTAATATTTGGTAATACTACATCAGAAAAATCTTGAGGAATATGATAAAACGCGTAAATGTTGATCATACCAGGTCAGGTTAACTGAGAGACTTTACGTTACACTTGTTAGCATGTTTAGAGGACCAAGTATAAATATATTGTCATTGGCAGCTTCAACTTCGGAAGGTCAGTGCTACAATGTAAGAAGAAAATTCGTGTTCTTTTCTTCTTCAGACAAGCAATCATCTGCTTGGACCAAAACCATTTCCATTAGACAGATTACTGGCCATATTATATAGTATCGTGGACAGCAGAGTTGCTCCAACAGCAAATATCTTTTCCCAGGTAAGATTAAACATGAGTTATTGTCTGTCATCTTGGTAGCATTCTTCGGATAATATAATTGGTAGAGTTCCAGGTGCTTAGACGTTTAGTGAGTATATGTTGCCATTTTGACTATGTAATGAACAGTGTTTTTGACCCTACATGTCTATGAGTTTTGCATTTGTGATTTCATTCAACCACTGATAAAAATATTTGGGAAAAAAAATCACATTTGTACTAACATGTACAGAATTTTTTTTCTTGTCATTCACTAAACTATATAGTATAAAAATTATATAGTGTTTACACAGGTATTATAAGTCATTTACAGATGATGTAAGGCATTTAGGAGAATATATGTGGCTTATATACAAATACTACAGCATTTTATGTAAGGGATTTGAGCATCTGCAGATTTTGGTGTCTGTGGGGATCTAGAAACCGTCCGCTGTATATTGAGGAACAGTTGTAATTGAAAATTCCAAATCTAGAATCTTTGGATATCACTGAATTTGCATACATTTACAAGTATAACCTCATGGCAAAAACAATTTTGTATTTCCAAAATTTTTAAAATTAAATGATTATAGTTACCTTATTGAATAAATAAACAAGTAACTTGATGAATAAATTGATGGATTGTAATGTGGAAGTATAACTAATAACATTTTAAAAATTTGTTTGGAAGAAAGTAACCTATGTTGTTCTTTATGCTCATGTATGTATTTGCAGGTTGACATGCTGATTTTTTGAAGTATGTATTTTTCAGAGTAAGTTCCCAAAGTTTCACTAGGTGGCAGTAGAATCATAAAAACAGAAAATAGGACTTTTTTTTTTTTTTTTTTAAATAAGGGTTTTGTTGTTGTTGTTGTTGTTACATTTTAAGAATAATGTATTTATTGGCCAGCGCCACGGCTCACTAGGCTAATCCTCCGCCTTGCGGTGCCGGCACACCGGGTTCTAGTCCTGGTCAGGGCACCGGATTCTGTCCCGGTTGCCCCTCTTCCAGGCCAGCTCTCTGCTATGGCCCGGGAGTGCAGTGGAGGATGGCCCAAGTGCTTGGGCCCTGCACCCCATGGGAGACCAGGATAAGCACCTGGCTCCTGCTTTCAGATCAGTGTGCTGCGCCGGCCGCAGCACGCTGGCAGCGGCGGCCATTGGAGGGTGAACCAACGGCAAAAGGAAGACCTTTCTCTCTGTCTCTCTCTCTCACTGTCCACTCTGCCTGTCAAAAAAAAATAAAAAAAAATTTAAAAAAAAAGAACAATGTATTTATTAAGAGAAACATGTGGGCTGGCGCTGTGGCACACTTGGCTAATCCTCCGCCTGCAGCGCCAGCACCCTGGGTTCTAGTCCTGGTTGCTCCTTTTCCAGTCCAGCTCTCTGCTGTGGGGAGGATGGCCCAAGTGCTTGGGTCCCTGCACCCACATGGGAGACCTGGAGGAAGCACCTGGCTCCTGGCTTCAGATCGGCGCAGTGCTGGCCGTAGCGGCCATTTGGGGAGTGAACCAACGGAAGGAAGACCTTTCTCTGTCTGTTTCTCACAGTCTATAACTCTGCCTGTAAAATAAAAATAAAAAGAAAGAAAAAGAAACATGTTTATTGATGATCTAATCATGGTAGATTTCTTCAGTGTCCCAGAAAAACAATATTTAGAAATGTTAAGAAGATAGAAGAAAAAGCAAAGTGTGTCTCATATTTACTGAAAACGAAGTTACGTCAGATGTTGTGATGAGCATTTTGTTTTATGTGTACATTTTTACATGAACCTTGTGTAAATAATTAAGATTTACATATCAGTTGATTCTCTGTGAATAAATGTGGTCCCAGAATGGACATTAGACTTTGTACTATGGTGGTAATTTTTAATTCTGTATTTAGAAGGCATTTAGTGACAAATATATTCTGAATGTTCTCAACATTGAATTTAGATAATTTTGTACTTCTCAGATGCTTTGTTGGGAACACAAAGAATGATAGTATGTGTTGTATCTTTCAAGCTTATAATATACCCTGGGGAATAAAGTGTGCATAAAAATAGTGTTTTAAGGCTGTAAATGAGTGCTAGATAATGGCACCAGAGGGTTAGAGCAGAAAGATCACTTCTGCCTGGGCAGGATGAAAGAGGGACTTCCCAGGGAACATGAACAAGAGAGCCTGGTTTAGAGAATGGGGTGTTTTTTCTTTAAATATTTCTGGTTAACAAACGATACATGGTTTGTACAAAATCTAGGAAAATCGATCATTCAAAAGGAAGAGTAGTAGATAAAAATCACTTTATACCACACTTCTAGCGGAAGAATGTGATTAGATTAAGCATTCAGAAGGGTGAGGGGAGGTATAAGCTGGACAAAGATATTCATCTAATAGAAAGCAAAGCACATTTGTGAACTGTCACAGACTTGGTTGGAAGTGGATGGGCTATGTTGAAACAGTAGCAGTAGTACTGATGTTAGTAGTGCTAATAATATTATTGCCACCACATGTCATACCTTGCTGTCAGCACCTTACATCCTACTTTTCTACACATTTTTTTAATTTATTTATTTGACAGAGTTAGAGAGAGAGACAGAGAAAGGTCTTCCTTCCATTGGTTCACTGCCCAAATGGCCGCTACAGCCGGCACTGCGCCAATCCAAAGCCAGGAGCCAGGTGCTTCCTCTCAGTCTCCCATGTGGGTGCAGGGACCCAAGCACTTGGGCCATCCTCCACTGCCCTCCTGGGCCACAGCAGAGAGATGGCCTGGAAGAGGAGCAACCAGGACTAGAACCCGGCGCCCATCTGGGGTGCCGGTGCCGCAGGCAGAGAATTAACCAAGTGAGCTACAGCGTCCACCCCTTACATCATACTTTTCTTAGAAATAAACTTTCGGGCCGGCGCCACGGCTCAATAGGCTAATCCTCCGCCTGCGGCGCCAGCACCCCTGGTTCTAGTCCCGGTCAAGGCTCCGGATTCTGTTCCGGTTGCTCCTTACCCTCTTGGAAAAAATATAGCAATTAAAACCAAGGTGGGGGGTTCAATTCTTTGACTGCTGAACAATTTCAGCAGCCCATTTCAGTAGTGCCAGTAATGTGATTACATAACAACTTGGGCCAAAGTGTATCTTTATTTGTTAATAAAGTTAAATTCTTTTCAGTCTTGATAATTGCAGTTGTTGATATTTTTCATTCTTTATTTCTCCTTGATAACTGTCAAATGATAAATTTTGTATGTTTAAAAATTATAGATGAATTCACTTATGTTCATTTTATAACAATTTAGGAACTTGATCTTAGTAACTATATTTAAGATACAGCATATACAAGGGAGTATATAAATGTGGATGCAGTGAGTCCTACGGATTTGACCTTTACTTTTTCTTGCGTTATAAAGTATCCAAAAAATATAATATACATACTACGTTCATAAACAGAATGTGACAGGAATCACATCCAAAAGATCTTTTCATCTATTGAAAAACTATAGTTTTGCCCATAGGAATGGCAATTTGTATTTAACCTGTGCTCATTTAGTTTTTCAGTGTAAAACAGAAACATGCATCTCTATTGGAAGTATGCATTTGATGTGAACACTAGGTGGCGGTGTTGCTGCAGTCTAGCTTTAAGGTGAACTAGGAAAACAGCTTTTACTTATAATAGCGTCCTTGACATATAGAGAAACTTGTTTTTTAATTTAACACATTGATTAATTTGAATAAGAGTAAAGTTCTATGAAGCTATTTAACTATATACATGTATGTACACTTTCATGAAAATGAATAAAATTAGTAAAGAATTGTATGAGTATTTTCTACCTGGAAGTAAATTGCTCTTTATTGGTTATAAAGTATCCAAGTGAGATAAAAATGTGTTGTTTTTCTATTTATTTATATTGAGGCAGGGGATGGGGGGAGAGAGAGCTCTCCTCTCTCCAAATGCCACACAATAGCCAGGCTACACCAGGCCACACCAGGCCAGAGCCAAAAGCCTGGAACTACACTGGGTTTCACAGGTGGTTGGCAATGACCTACCGATTTGAGTTGTCACTTGCTGCCTTTGAGGCTGCATTAGCAGAAAGCTGGAATCCAGAAATGGAGCAGGGACTCACTCAAACCCAGGCTCTTTGACTTGGGATACAGACATCCCAGGTGGCCTCTTAACCACTGCAACTAAAACCTGCCCAGAATGATTTGATAGCAATGAGTTATTTGTATATCTTTCTTTACTATTTACATAATTATTTAGAATTTTTTCATCTATAGTAGATTGGTCATGTGTGATCATACATTCAAAATTTTCTTGACGCTGAAGTTTATTTCCATTACATTTCATTTAAAAATTTTTTTAAGATTTATTTTTTTGAAAGTCAGAGTTACACAGAAAGAAGGAGAGGCAGAGAGAAAGAGAGGTCTTCATCCACTGGTTCACTCCCCAGTTGGCTGCAATGGACAGAGCTGCGCTGATCCGAAGCCAGGAGCCAGGAGCTTCTTCCAGATCTCCCATGCAGGTGTAGGGGCCCAGGGACTTGGACCATCTTCCACTGCGTTCCCAGGCCATAGCAGAGAGCTGGATTGGAAGTGGAGCAGCTGGGACTCGAACTGGCGCCCATATGAGATGCCAGCACTGCAGGCGGAGGCTTTACCTGCTACGCCACAGCGCTGGCCCCGATTTAAATCTTTTAAAATATGTTCTACAATGAAGTTACAAAGATAAGCTTAAGGAAGGAATCTTTAAAGTTTATTGAAATTCTAATAGAGAATAATGAACAAATTTATAATTCTCTTAATTCATCTCATAAAAGAATAGTATCTGTACATTTAATATTTTAAGTTGTTAGTGTTCAGAAGTATTAAACTGAAATATAGTTTTAAATTTTTTTCTTTTTTTAATTTATTTGGAAAGGCAGAGTAACAAAGAGAAAGGAGGAGGAAGGGTGGAAGAGATAGATCATCCACCCACTGGTTCTCTTTCCCAAATGTCCAAGATGATCAGGGCTGGGCCAGGCTGAAGCCAAGAGCCAGGGACTCCATCTGGGTGTCCCAC